AATTTCATTAAATTTAAAACAAATTTCCAAAAAAGGATTTATTGGGTTCTTTCCACCAATTTCATTTAATTTTAAATTATTAAAAATATTTTTGGATATTTCGTTGTTTTTCCATTTGGGATTTAAAAATAAATTAAATTTTGTTAATTTATCCGAATTTGTGGAGACTCGCGAAAAAGGTCTTGCGGCGCTACCCAAATTTTTGATAGATTCCGTCAATATTGCTTCGATTCCACTTAATTTTATAGTACTATGTGGATGCTGACTTCCCGGACGAAGTGTTTGTAAAACGTTATTTGAATTTAAATCATTTCCATTTTCATCTCTTATATTTATTTCAATTAAACCATTAAAAACAGGTCTAATTTTAACAAGTGCCTTAAATTTAGAAAATTAAAAAGTTTATTCTTTCAGAAATGTATACTAATTAATCATAGGGTTGAATTAGTCTTTCCTTATTCGATGAAACATTCATTTTAAATTTCCCTCTCAATGGAGATTTTTATCTTTTGAAGGCTCTTATATTTTCTAAAATTCAGAAAAGCACCTAATTGGCCTTTTAGAAACTCAGAAATAAGGTTGTCGGATAGTTAAAAATCTTCGGATATCCGGATCCGGTATCCGAACCGAAAATTTTAGATATCCGGTCTTTTTTCGGATCCGGATATCCGGATACGACAACCTTACTCCAAAGTTATTTTGGAGTTTATAAAGCCAAAAAGAGATTTCTGAATTTTCTGTTAAGTTTCCCAAATGAATTTTAACGAGAAATTATTTATTTATTTTTTTTACTTTATATTTTGCTTCATTTCTCAAACAAATATCCAATCCAAATCTATATTCATAATTAACTTTTTCATTTAAATAAATTATTTTATCCTTATCTTCATTTATTTTAATATCGTTATTCGTATAAATTCTCTTATCATTTATTCTTCTTGAATTACAAAGGCTAGCTGGATTTCTATATTTATATCCTACTGATTGCACTAAATAAAGTTGATCTTCTTCATTTAATATTCCATTAATTTTAATTATTATTTCTACTAAATTTCCTTCATTTCTTTCTGTTGAAGGTCCCTTAATATTTAATTATTTAGATTAAGTAAAGTTTAGATATTTTAAATTTGGAAGCGCCCATGACTTTTTTAAATGAAACCAAAAAATCTTAGATTTTGCCAATAATACATAAAAGAGATTGAGGGGTTTTAAAGAGATAAAGGGGTATTACGCAGAATATCATGGGAATTCGAGGGATATCGGAGGATTGAGGGAGGGGATTTGGATGGATTAAAGAGGCACATCCTTGTTGAGGTCACCCTTCGATATTCAAATCTATTAATTTGTCATTAAAAATTTAAAATAAACCTCTTCTTTATTGTCTTTAATAAATTCAATATTTATCAAATTAATTTTAATTTGTTCCTCATTTTCTTCTGTATATTCAACAAGAATATTTTGATTATTTAGAATATTAGTTGAATTAATTAAATTAGTAAATAATATTAAAAATAAATAAATATTTATTTTTAAATTCATTTTTTAAATAAATAAATTTTTATTAATAATTTAGATTCATAAAAATAAATAAATATTTAAAAAGGGCAAAAATAAGGCAAAATATAAAGAAATAAAAGGGCAAAAATATGAAGAAATTTAGTGAATGTCTGTCAAAAAAATGACAGTCTAATGTCAATGAAATCGCCGCTTTTTATTTTGTATTTTTTAAGTAAAATTATTTAAAAATTACATCATGTTTTAATTACTTCATTATTAGTCTTGTGAGGAAGCGGCGGGGCAGGTCGGTCTCTTTGTTTTGCACTTTTAAATAAAATTTATTCTCTCTATTTTTTCAATTTCAAAATAAAGAAAAAATTAAGAAATTATAATGTACTTTTAAAATACCAATTAATAAACAGCTAAATATAAAATAATTTCCTAAGAGTCTGAAAAGCAAAAGTAATTCAGGGCTTTACTGAAAACTGTATACTAAGCGATTCCTCGAAAATCTCCGTGTATACGGAGATTTTCGAGATTTTCTAGTACTTCAGTGCATACATTTATGCACATATTTTTCGATTTCACGTGCATATTTTGCCCAGCCCTACTTGAAGCACATACAAAAATGCATCGCCCTTAAAGCAACTGTCAAAAATTTATTAAATTTATTTTATTTATTCATTTTTCAATTCAAACAATGGTTGTATATGGGAATTATAAATATTAGTATTTAACTTTGTTTCTTTAATAATTATCATATTTCCATCCTTAATACCTTCTTTATTTTTTGTTTTAACAATTTCAATAGAAATAGTTTCAATTAATTCTTGTAATATTTCTATTTCGTCATTATTTACAAAAAATTTTTTTAAACATTTCTCTTTATTTGCATCTTCAATTTTAACAAAAAATTTAATTGAAGGAGTTGAATGGCCAGAAATATAAATAAAATATTCTCCAATTTCATTAAATTTAAAGCAAATTTCCAAAAAAGGATTTTTAGCTCCTTTTCCAAAAATTTCTTTTAATTTTAAATTATTAAAAATATTTTTGGATATTTTGTTGTTTTTCCATTTAATTGAATTTAAAAATAAATGAAATTTTGTTAATTTAATAATATTAAAATCGCTCATATATTCCACTAATTTTGCTTCAATTCCATTTAATTTTATTAAGCTTTCGACATCTGTATAATAAATGTCAACTCCAGGATAAGTTGTTTGCACAATGTCCTTTGAATTTAAATCATTTCCATTTTCATCTCTTATATTTATTTCAACTAACCCATTAAAAACAGGTCTAATTTTAACAAGTGCCTTAAATTTGAAAATTTATTTTTTAAAGAAACTAAAATTTTTATTATTCTGCCCATACTTATAGGTCTGGGCTTCTATAATTTCTCTATTCCATCGCCTATTCAATGAATCCAAACACCAAATTTAGACAAAAAGAGCGCCAAGAATATTAACTTTGTTTTAAGAGTTTAGTTATTTAATTGACTTTTAGAAACAAGTACCCTTGAAAAGTACCCCAATTTTTTGACTTTTAAAGTCATGAAACGACATTAATTAATATAATATTTTATTTATTTATTTTTATTATACATACTAGAGTTGGTCGCGGTACCGTATTACCGCGGTATTTTTCGGTAATACCGCGGTATTTTTACCGAAATACCGATACCGAATACGGTACCGCACAATTTTAAAAAATCGGTATTTTTGCGGTATCGGTATTTTACCTAAAATACCGATACCGCAAAATCGCGTTTGACCAACACTAATACATACTTTATTTTTTGTTTCATTTAGTAAGCAAATATCCAATCCATCTAAATATTCATCTTCAACCTTTTCATTTAAATAAATTATTTTTTTCTTATTTAAATTAATAATATCATTTTTTGTATAAATTTTGTTATTTTCAGGTATTCCATAATTACAAAAACTAAATTTATCTTTATAACTAATTATCGACGAATGCACTAAATGAAGTTCATCTTCCTCGTTTAATATTCCATTGATTTCAATTTCAATTTTTACTAAATTTTTCTTATTAAAATTAACTAAAACATTTAATTCTCCTTCATTTCCTTCAGTTGAAATTTCCTTAAAGTTTTAATTATTTGGATTCAACAAAAATTCAGATTCGGGATTGGAGTACCACACCCCCTAATTGACAGATTTTTTCAAAAAATAGTCGACATCTTTTTCATAATGGCTAATATAATAACGAACAGATTTAAAGCTAAATCGAAAATCATCACGAACGTTCTTTGCTGGTCTGATATGGTCGATGGAAAATTAAAAATCGTATAACTTATTTAAAACAAAATCTTTTTAGTTTTAAAAACATTTAAAATAAATATGTACATGTATATTAACCGGACCCCGTTTTTCGGTAAATCCTAATTAAAAAAAAATTTTCGGTTTTGTGTTTTAGTTAAATACTGGTTTTATTTTGTATTTTTTTCTTCATAAATTTCTGGGTTTTGATTTTTAAAATTTTATAAAATTTTTGGCAAAAAATATTAAAATTTTCGAATTTAAACCGGTCATGTCCAAGCCTTTTTTTAATATTCTAGAGCCATTAAAGATAACAAACAAACTTCCTCGTCATTATTTTTAATAAATTCAATATTTATCAAATTAATTTTAATTTGTTCCTCATTTTCTTCTGTATATTCAACAAGAATATTTGGATTATTTAAAATATTATTTGAATTAATTAAATTAGATAATAATATTAAAAATAAATAAATATTTATTTTTAAATTCATTTTTTAAATTTATTATTTTTTATTAATAATTTATATTTATAAAAATAAATAAATATTTAAAAAGGGCAAAAATATGGCAAAATATGAAGAAATTAAGTGAATGTCTGTCAATTCTAAGAATATTAAAAACAGTCTAGTGTTAATGAAATCGCCGCTTTTGTATTTCTTTGTATTTCTTAAGTAAAATTATTTTTCACATGTTTTAACTTTATAAGTCTTGTGATTTAGCTTGTAAGTTGCTCTTTTTTGTTTTTACCGAAAAGGTTGTTCACGGTCGGTTAACGGACTGATATCCCTTAAAACCACCCTTAGTCTCTCAACTCCACTTATATCCCCTAGATTACCCTTATATCACAGATTGTGAATTTTGGGCTACGGCTGTAGATTTTAAAATAAAAATTGCTGACTTCAGAATTATTTTTCAAATAAAATAAAAAGTGTAAAATATTTATCAAGAATAAAATTGTTTCAAGTGTTTTTTTTTTTAAATTTAAACGGAATTTAAAAAAAAAGAATTAAAATTACGTTGTAAAATTAATAAAAAAAACAAAGAAAAAGGATAAAATATTTAAAGTAAAATTTCCCAAAAATTAAAACCGAAAATGAGCAAAGAGGAAGGCAATTGACAGAAGTAAAAAATACTTTTAAAAATTTCAAAAACTATCATTTTCCGAAAAAATTTAAATTTAAAAGTATTTTTTAAAGAAAAATATTTTTTCATTTAATATCCAGGATATGTACTTAAATCACCACTTCGTCGTTTTTCCCAATAAATATATAATTGTGTTAATCCAAACATTAAACCCATTCCAAATAGAATTGATACTAAAAAATTTAAATAAATAATTTAAATATTTGAAATTAATTTTTTAAAAATTTTGTTATTTAGAAATTAAAACAAATTTCAATTTGAAAAATAAATTAAAGATTATATTATAATACAGTCCAATCTCGTTATTATAAGTAAACTTTTGGAGCCGAAAACACTAGAATGAGTATTAGAGTTATCGCTTAGGTATATCTCTCCCAACCATTGACTTACTACACTTAAAAAACGTACACTAAGTTGTGTAATTAGTGGCTAATACACGAGCTCTGTGAGCTCTTTCGATAAACATTTATATAAACCATATCGGAGTAGGGCCCTAAGTTTTACCGAATATTATACAGAGATTCGACTATATTTTGCTATGAGGAAAGGCTCTCAATCAGTCTCTTTAGGGAAACATTTGTAATAGCTATTAAGCAGAATCCCCACATTTTTATTTTGTTATAATTTTCTGTTTTTTGTTTCAGGCAACTTACAGAAAATAGAGCCACCACCAAATCCACTACTTTTTTCCTCAGCTTCTGCTGGTGTTGGACATGCTGGACAAGTTATGTTTTCTGGTTTGGGTGTTGTGGCTATAAAAATTAATTTAATTTAGTAATTTGTTTGGAGTAATTTTTTCTGAAAATAACTATAGGGACATAAAATGTCTCGAAACCTCTGCTAATTTAATTTATCAGAAAAGAACTAAAAATATCTTTTCAGACAAAACATTCGAATCTGACAGCCGATTTAAAATTTCCCTTAAAAATCCCCTTCCCATCCCTTCCCCTCCCCTTCCTCCAACCTTCTTCCTTTTTTTCTTCGGTTTTAACAGGTTCTGTTGATCCACTTTTCTTATTATTTGCTGGGGAATCGACAGCCGAATTAATTTCCAAAGTTGTTAGAAATATAAAGGCCAAAAGTAAAATGATTTTTGACATTTTTGGATAAACAAGTTTCTGATTTTTAAAAATTTCTGAAAAAGATTTTTTAATGAATTTATATTAAAAGAAGAGGAGAAAAAACTTTTTTTGAAATAATCAGCTCTTTATGAAGCTAACTTTTGACAAGAAAAATTATTTTTGGGGAAGAGGGGAGGTAAACAATAAAGGGAGGGAGAGAATTATATGACAGTCTATGATCGATGACAGTCTATGTAAATAAAAATGAAAAGCTTTAAATAAAAAATGATAGTCGTGGCAAAAAGGCAAAAATTTAAAGGGAGAGAGAGAAAAATAAAAAAAGAAATGGCAAAAATTGCCTTATCGGGAAGAGAGTTAGAATGGAATTTTAAAGGGGAATGCGGGCGTTTAATTGAGTTATTAAAAATAAATTTAAAATTAAATATTTTTATTTAAATTTTAAATTAGTTGAGGGAATAAATATAAAATAATTAGAGAGGTGTCAACAAAAGGGAGGTTTTGATGATTTATTTAAAATATCAAAAATGATTCTATAAAACTACCTTTAAAATATTTGACTAAAAAATGAAAAATGTAGGGTGTCTGTCTGCAACTCTGAATAAATTTGGGATTTAAAATACAGTCGAATCTGGTTATATGTATCTGAACTGAAAAAATTGCAAAAACTAGGATGAGTTGTATGTGCGGGTGTTTAATTGAATAATTGGGAGTATTGAAATTAAATTTTATTTAAAAATTCTTAAATTCAAATTTTTCTTTTAAATTAAGAAATAATTAATAATTGACGAGCTTTTTTCTATTTAAAAATTATTAAAAAAATATTTCAAAATTAAAATGATTTTAAATAAAATATATTTTGTTTATATTTTATTTGAGAAACGAGAGAGAAAGGAAGATTAAAAAAGGAAGAAAAGGTGTGTGTTTGTTGTTTGGACAAAAAATGTTTTGTAATCATCATTTAAAATGATTGAATATTTGTTATTCATTGAAACTTTTAATTCTTTTCTTTTTTTGAATCATTTTAATGATTTTAAATTTTTTAAATTTCCTTTTGACGTTTTAAGGTTATTCGGGCGCTTGACAGTTTTAACGTGCGTCTAAAAAGAGGTGAATTTTAAATTAAAAAGTTTTTACTTTTCAATAAAATTTAAACATTTTAATTAATTATTTTTAAAGTCTAATCATTCTAACATAGTGCCTCCTTATATATTTTAAAAATGTTATGATTTCAGATAAAATATTCGGAACTCCTAAATTAATTCTGCGTCCAAATGAATTCTTCTTGATTAATTAATTCCTCTTGTTTATTATTTAATTTATTTTAAAATTTAATTAAAAAATTTAATCAGGAAATAAAAAAACAAGAAATAAAATGATTTATTGCTTAATAAATTTGAAAAGTTAAAAAAAGTTAAAAAATTTCTTCATAGATTTTATTTAATAAAAGATTAATTTACATGTCTGACAGACATGTAAATTAATCTTCGGCACATTTTCTAATACACAGACATTGTCTGTGTCCTAATACACAGACATTGATACACAGACATTGTCTGTGTATTAATACACAGACATTGTCTGTGTATTAGAAAATGTGCCGACATAAAAAATAAATTCCCAATTTCGAGACTCGGGAATTGCAGACTCGGAGCCTTAATTCGGAGCATTAAGGTTCAAGTAAGGTCGATCAAGGTTAATTCACAAATGTACATATATTAATTGGCCTTGAATCGCCGAAAATTGAGGTAAAGTATTGGAAAATTAATTTTAAAAGGAAGCAGAATGAACCTTAAATTAAATTTAGAGTTTTTTAAAAATAAATTTCAAAACTTAAATTCTTCCAAATAAACTTGAAATAATTATTTTATTAAAATATTTAAACAAACAAAATCAATTTTCTTCTCTTTTTTCTCTTTCAAAATTAACAGTATTAAGCCAGAACCCTAGAAATTTTTTTCAATTTGCCTTCATTTTCAATCCTTTTCTGTCTCGCCTTTTTATTAATTTAAACAAATTAAAAATGGATTTTTAGAGCGTGAGGGGCTTTATTGAGTAATTAATTAGTTGAAACCTAAAAACCAACAACTCTCAATCTAATCACTTACAAAATATGAATTTCTCGGTTTCGAATTTGTTCAGGAAAAGCAAAAATAGATATTAACAAATTTAGCTATTAATTCAACAATCAATTATTTAGCTTTTTTTAATTCATTATTAGGTATATATCGGAATTGATTGAAGATTCTCTAAATTATTGTTGATTAGCTTATAATAAATATTTTTTAATTTTGCTTTTTGAAAATTCTGTTTGGCGTTTATAAAACTGAAAAATTTTGTTTATATAATTAAAAAGAGATACCTAAATAAATATCTTTTTTGATTATTTAAAAAATAGATAATATACTTTTTACCTTCTGAAAATCATTTAATTAATTTATTTAAAATCTCCACGCCTAAATAACCCCTCAATCCTTTCGCTTTTTCTATTTACTTTTTATTTTTAATTTATTTATCCACAGTATTCCCCCTTTATTCCCTCCATTTTTTATTTTCCTTTCTCCTTTTTTTCAAAGCTTTTTCTCTCCTCCTAGTTATTACATACTCCCCACGAGAATAATTAATACAATTTGCTGCTTATTTCTTTTTTTTTTAATTTTTATTTTGCTTTCCACAAAGCTTTAAGCCAATATTTAATTAAAAATATTTATTTACTGTCGGCTTTTCCTTTTTTTTTCTTTCTTCAGAATTTTCTAGATTTTCTTCAATGATTATTTATTTAAATAAATAATTAATTTTTTTAATTAAATTTTTTTAATTAAATTTTTTTGATTAAAAAATATTCTAAATAAATAAAAATAAAAGTAGGAAGCCTGAAAATGTTTCAAAATTCTTAAGTTCATTAATTTTCATTCCAAAAATATTTATGTTCAATTCATTTAACCCAACAGAACTTTCCAATCAAGAGTTAGCGAATCCATGGAAATCTTTAAATATATGGATCTGAAATCGATATCTGAAACAAAAATTGCTGGATATCCGGATCCACCAACCTTATTCGAATCCAAAAAATTTGGAAAGAAAACTTTTATTTATCCTTTCATTTAATATTAACATTATTGCTAATTATGAGGTTTTCTGGAAATTTAGGACTTCTTTCAATTTTACTAATAATTTTTTTAAAACCTAAATAAATTACCTACTACCTCAAAAACTTAAAAAAACTACATTATATTTATTATTTAAATATTCGTTTAAATTACCCCCAAATAAATCAAATTTGCGCCTTTCTCCATAAAATTTTTTTGCTTTTTCTTAAATTTTTTTTCGACACATTTCCGATTTATTACTTGTTCTTCTCCTATGCCATTTATTTTTTTCTTTAAAAAATCTCTTCATTAAGTTCATAACCAATTCCTCGGATCAACGACTTTTTAAAAAAGACCAAATAAAAAATAGAAAAAAATTTTTTTGAGAGGGGAAGGGGGATGAGGACCGCCTGGAGAGATGAATGGGATGAATAGAAAAAAAGAAGAGAAGGAAAATTTTTGGGTAAAAGTTGACTGCTGAGAAGACGTTTTTTATGTTCTTTTATGGAACGCATAGGGAAATAAATATATTAGTCTAGTTTTTAGTTTTTTCGGCGTTTATTACCCGAAAAAGCTTTAAAAAGTTTTTTGGGTGATGGAGTGGATTGAGGCATTTTTTGGGGTTTTGAATGGGAAAAGGAGGCTTTAAAGTATTTTTGAAGGCTTGGGGACGTTGTGGTTTAAGTAAGGGGTGAAAAGTAAGTGGAGGGGGTAGAAAGTACTCAAAAAATATTTTTGTAAAAAAACGAGAGAGAGGTGGGTATTGAAAAGTATTTTTTTTTGATTTTAAAAATTATTTAAAAAATAAAATAAATTGGAAAAAAATTTTCTTAATTAGAAAGGAATTTTTGAATTTAGAAGCAGTTACCCTTCATTTTCTCGAAGACATTCTCTTAATTTTGCCAAATGTCTATCAATATATACCTCGAAATAATTTTTATTCTTTTCCATTTTTATCTATTTTTTTTAATTTAAAATTATTAATTCTTTTCAAAATGCGCATTTATTTATTAAAATTTTTATTTATTATTCAAATAAAAATAGGGGGAAATAAATGGCATTTTTATGGAGAAAAAATAAATAAACGATTGATTTTCAATTCTTTCCAAAATTAGAGTTATTTATATTTTAATGTGTTAAGAAACCTCGTAAAAAATTTATAAAAATGAGAAAAGGGACAAAAATAATAATAACCACCAAGAGAATAGTTTACCGCTAATGGCATTTTACGGAAAGGTAATTTATTTATTTTTTACCTAAAAATTGTCAACCGGAAAATGCACTTTTAGACGCAGAAAAGTTTGGTATGGAAGACCTAAGATAGATCAAATAAGAACCTAAAATTCTTAAATTTTCTAAATTAAATAGAGTCTACTTTACTAAAAATTTTAGAATTTTTCGCTAAATATTTGGAAAGTTATGGAAGGAAATTCAAATAAAATATTATTTTTTGATTATAAATTAGAAAATACCAAAATAAAAAATTTTTAACTTTATATACAAGTTAATTAAAATTATTTAGTATATCCGTACAAAATTACACGTTTCTAAGTATTCTCTTGGCTAATGTTACAGGCGCGCAACTTCAATACCAACATCCTTTAGACTTTTATTCAGTTTATTCTTCTATGCTCAAATTTCTCCATTTTCTTCTTTCTTTTTTATTTTCCGGGAGAAATAAGTGAAAAAAAGAAAAAAAACGCCGAGGCCAATCTAGCCAATGTCATAAATTTATTTATGCTTTTATTTTTACTAAAAATGATCTAAGGATTGGAAAGGGGAGACTATGTAGCAAGCAGTAAATGACTGACACATCTGGACTGTGTTTTTAGATTTTTGCGGGCAAATTGTGACGGAAGGCAAGAAAAATCGGTTAAAAGTGACAGAAAAATAAAGGCAAAATAAATGGAAAGCGGCATTGATTTAAAGATTTTTTTGTTAGCTAAAATAAATAAATAAATAAATAAATATAATTCTCTTGTTTTTGGCTAAATCAGCTGCGCAAATTAATTTTTAATAAAATAAATGAAATAAATATATATTTTTGGTTGTTGCGAGAAATGAAAATTTTTAATTGGCCAATAATAAAACGGTATATATATTTTGACAAATTATTATTTTTTTATTTTTGTGGATTGCCTTTAAATAAATATAAAATTGTTGTTAGCTAGGGTTGTCGGCTCAGAATCGAGCTGAAGAACCGAGGATTTTCGAAATTTTTATTCAGTTCGATTTTAGATATCGGGAATTCATAATTCGACATTCCTAACTTTATTAACTATTTACTACTGATGGGAATATACAGTATTATTTCTTATTTATCGGCATTCGTAGGTATACCGACCGATACAAAATTTCTATCACTATTTACATTTAATTTTATTCCGGTACACCTCAATTGAGTCCCGACTCAATTGAGTCCCGGACCCTATAACTTATGAAGGGATGGTCACTTTTTGTTATTCTTGGTACCATTGGATAGGGCATTAAATAGGCTACAATATACCAAAAAATCAAAATTCCTGACCGACTGGTAAAAAGGTTGTGATCGATAAAGTGCCGAAAAATCAGATTTTTTTGAAAAAGTTAGTTTTTAAATCATAACTTTTTTATCAATTGGTCAAAAATTCTGATTTTTTGATATGTTATAGAGCTTTTGATTCTCTATCAAATGATACCAAGAACATGAAAAAGTGATCGTTTCTTGCTAAGTTATAGGGCCGTTACTCAGTTGAGCCGGGACTCGGTTGAACTGCTCCGATTTTATTCATATTAAACACAGTATTTATTTTATTTCTGTTAAAGCCAATGTATTTTGACATTTAAATTTTTAATTAAAAACAACCTTTTTAAAAATATAAACTTTATGTATTCCTTTTTAATTTCTAATTTTTTTCCTGATTGACATTTAAAAATTTTTTTATTTAAAGTTTATTTTTTGCAAATTTTCTTTTCACAATTAAAAAGTTAGCGGGGTATTTTAAATTACTTGAATTGGTCAACTACAAAACTTCTTTCATTCTTTTCAATTTGTTCTGACCCGTAACAGACCCAAAAAGGGGTTTTTTCCTTCTTTTGTCTTCTGTAAAATCCCCGCAATTGCGCAAAACATTAAAAGAAATTTTCTTTTTTTTTTTTACAAAAGTAAATTTAAAAAGGCTTCAAAACACACTTACTCTTTTTCATTTTCTTAAAATAAATAAATATATCGGGTCATTTATTTAAAATACCTATTCTATTATGCTTTTATTCATTCTTAATCATTTCTTTCATTGCCAAACGTTTCATTTTTTTATTTGATTCATTAAAAGGCGCGAAAATGTTAGTGACGGTTACTGCCAATTTATATGAGCTTTATATTTTATTTTAATTTATTTTTTAAGTCCTTCCCTCCCTAAAAAATTTATTTTTAAAATACAAACTTTTAAATTATTACTTAAATCTATCAATTTTTATGATAGGCACATTTTGTCCATTCCATTTTATTTCTTTCCCCTCTATAAGTTCAATGAGTTACTCTTGGTGTTAAGAGCAACAAGAAGTATAAAACTCCAAAATTGTTAGAAAAATACTTTAAATTTCAATAATTATACCGTTAAAATTTGAGAAATTTTAGGTAATATTATTTAGGATATTCCTTACTAATATTCATCTTATTAGATACTCATTTAACTAAATTTTAAGTACTTTACCTCTAACTAAACTTCCCATTTTACTTTTCTTACTTTCGTCTCCGCCTCTACTTTAATAAATAAAAAAATATTTTTTTATTTACAATTTTATTTTCCTCTCCCTTCTTCCATCAAAATCCCGCTTCTTCTACCATTTTTACCCAATCAAAGTGTTGGCAGACGCACGTCCAACATAGCAACGGTGTAACCAGTTATTTCGAGGGTTGTTGGAAGGCTGGCAACAAAAAGAGATATGAGGGGGGAGGGAGAGAATGTGAATAATAAAATAAAAGGAGAGAAGTATGAATGACGATGACAAAATTACTGTAAATGCTGTGAGGGGAACGGAAAAAGTGTTGGAAATTTTTTTAAATTAAAAAAAGTTTTTGTGGAGGCGTTAAAAAATTAAGGATTTATTTACTATTTATTTTGTTTTTTTCGAAGACTTTATTTAGGAAGTGGAACAAAAAAAAGTTTTCCAAATCAAGTCAATTTCTCTTTCCATCAAAATTATTTAAATTGTAATTGATGAGGAGATTTTAGTGGATGAGGAGAGTTTTGGACGAGGAGAGGTTATTTTGTGTTTGTGTCTTTTTAATTTAATTTTAAATCCTCTCTTCTTCACTCATTCAAAATATTTTTATTTTTTCAAAATTTGATGAGGAGATTACCTCCCATTCCCTCATTTACTAACCGAAAATACGTTGTATTAAATATAGCTAAAATATAGTCAAAACACACCTAAAATGTTGTAGTATTATACCAAATCCCCCCCCCCCCTTCCCTCAGCTCAACATTAATTAAGTGATTATTTATTTGGAAATGAAGAGTCGTGGAATAAGTCCCATTTTTTCTATAAAATTTTTTGTTTCGAATATTTTCTAAAATTTGTACAACTTCTAAATCCTTGGCTTTTTACAACCTTCATATTTATGGGTAATTCTGTTTTAGCGGCAATTCTTTTTTTTTCAACCATTTCAACAGTTTTTCTTTAAAATGCGCGAAAAATTGGGAAAAGCTGTAAATACTAGGAAATAGAAATTGTTTGAAGAAACAGCTGCCAAACCGGTAGTTGTAAAAAAGAACGGCAATTAGTTGTTGTTAGCCTTTTAATCTTGCCGTTCTTTTTTAGGTAAAATATTTGTTTAGTTTGTTTTGTTTGATTTTTCAACCCTAAAACCATTTAAGACTGTTCCTGAGGGTCATTTCCCTCAATTTAAAAATAAAAGATTATTTGCCGCATGTCAAAAAGAATTTTTTAAATAAATAATTCTCCCCTTAATTGGTATACACGAGAAATATTGTTAAAATTAATTTCCACATGCCTATATAATTAATCAAATAATCTTTCACTGTGGCTGATAATTTGATACAAATAATAAAAGAAGAGGTCAATTCTCAAGTTGAGTAGATTCTCACATACATTTTTTTAATAAGGGATTTGAACGTTTACAGGGAGATGGAGGTGTTCTCTCTCAGAATTTCAATTCCGTAACTCCTTGAATTTGTTCATATTTAAAATTTATTGTAATTTTTTTAAATTAATGATATGTATAGTATGTTTTTCACAAAAATAGTTTTATCTTTGTTAAATTTATTGTTAATCTTCATTTATTTTATTATTCTTCTTTTTTATCCAATCGATCATCTCGATCCTCCCGGCATTATTCCTTCCATTAATTCTCTCCTACTTTTTTTGCCACGACCCTTTACCCCAAATTGGCATGGACAACGCCAAACTGCGCAGGACGCTTACAAGGAAACGGACTGCTGCTGGGCCTTTTTGACAAAAATGGACAGTGAATGGATGTTGGGGGTTATAATGGGCGGAGAAATAAATAAATATACAAGCCATCGACAAAAAAATGGAAGGGAAGGATGAGAGCTTTTTAGGGTTTTAGTTTTAGTAGAAAGGATAGATGAAGACACACACAACCATTGAATGAATGAATATATTTTCGTTGATATATTATTTTGCGTGCGCGGACTGTCGTCCCGTCCATAACCTCATCAACATATCAAACTATATATGGGGGACTGTTTTAGAGCTGTGAATGAGGAAAAGAATTTTTTGGACAAGAAATGAATAAAACTGACAACGGGATGGAGAGAGGGAAACATTTACTCCCCCCATTCATTTACAACCCTCATTCAATTCCTCGGAAGAAGCTTCTTCTTCCATTCATTCATTTTTCCCTCTTTTTTTTACCAAATTTTGTATATTCTTCGATTTTTTATTGTAATTTTGCCTATTTTTTTGTCTGGGTATTCAATTATAGAAATTTAATTGTTTAAGTTTGGCAAAACTTTATTTATAATGTTCAAAAAAATTTTTTTAATTTCATTATAGTATTTGAGATTGTATAACTTATATTTTTGTTTAATTTTTATATTTTCTGATACAATACTAAGTAAAGAAAATTCAAAATTTTAACTTATAACCAACCATCTTTAGTGAAAAAATTTAACTTAAAGCCTTTTTTTCGAGAATGAATTCTTCGAGATAAAAGAAGCCTAAATGTTCGCGTGGCCTATCAGAACATCAAAAATCCAAATTTGCATACATTTATTTATTTTTTCAAATTTTCTTAATTTTTAATTATTTCAGTATTGCCTAAATGCAACAACAACAACAACCAAATGGAACTTCAATACCCAACAACTTTCAACAAGCAATTAATTCCATTACCTACCCCCAATTACAACAACAACAACCATTATATTTCGAAACAACAAATTCAACAACAAATAATTCTGAAAATTTTTATTCAATGCAACTTCAACCTTATCAAACACAACAAATCCAAACTGGAGAGTTACTCGAAACAAAACAACAAAAAAGTTCTTCTGAACAATTTAATGTAAATAATGAAAATATAATTAAAGTAAGAGATTAAAACAAGTTTTAAATAAATTATAGAGTAGTTAAAACATCATAATTTTAAATAAACATTGTTTGTAAAAACCAGAACTTTAAATAAACATAAGAGGGAAAATCAGAATTTTAAATAAACATAAAGGGGAAATCAGAATTTTAGATAAACACTGTTTGTCAAAACCAGAACTTTAAATAAACATGAGAGGAAAAATCAGAAATTTTAAATAAACATTGTTTTTAGAAACCAGAACTTTAAATAAACATAAGAGAGAAGATCAGAATTTTAAATAAAAGCTTAGATAAAGATCAGAATTTATAATGAACTAAGATTTTGTTTTAAGTGATTGTTTGGGGATTAGAAATATAATTCATTATTTTCTTTAGAAAATTCCTTTATTTAAAAATTTTTGTTTTTATTATTTTCTTAAAGATTTTTAGAAAAAGAAAAAAATAATAATTTTCTTTAAAAAATTTTTTTAAGAAACTTCCGTTTTCATTTTTCCAAATTAATAATTAAAAAATATTTTTGGCGGGCTAAAAAATTTACTTTTCTTTTTTTTTGGATTAACTTGACCTTGGACAGTTATTTATAAGAAAATGTTTTAGGAAGAAAATTAAAAAAGGGAAGCTATCTAGAATTTTATTGAGTGCGAATTTGAAGGGAGAAATTAATATTATTAACTAGAAGAGTGTGAAAATATTTTTTGTCCTTCAAATTTTAACTGGTAAAAGTATGAAACGGGTAATTATTATTTACTTTTTAAGGATTTATTTTTGATTGTTTTTGGGAATTTATTTTTCTCCAAAATATAATTTAAATTTATTATTTTGTCCTCTTTTTAAGTTTAAAAAATCAGAATTTTAATTAAACATTTTTAGTAAAAATCAGAATTTTACTTTATAAACAAATATTTATTTTATTTTAATTTGAAACGATCCTTTCTCTTTTGGAAAATCTTAAAATATATCCAAAACTTGAAATAATTCGAGATTATAATCTTTAATATTTACTTAAACTGTATTCTCAATAATAAAAATCAAAAGACAAAAGAAAAACAGAATTAGGCACTTTTTGTTTACAAGGACTTAAATATTTGAACCAAAGATTGGGAAGAGAGAGGGGGGGGGGGGGAAGTTGTAAGAGAGAGATTTTATCGTAAAAATATATTTATTTATTTTGGACAATTAATTTATATATTCCAAAAATTTTATTATTTTTTTAATAAAGAAAAAAGGCCCTGGACCAGGAAGACCACCAAAAATAAAAATTGACAACAATAAAAGGGAGGATGTTGCTGGTTGCAGTAATAATATGTATGAATATAATACGAGTATTCTAAAACCTGATCAAATGCAAATGCTTTCACTTGACGCTAAATCTGCAAATAATATTAGTATGGTTGGAGGAAATACTACACAAGTAATTATAAAGAACTATCAGAATATCAGAATTTAGAATAAACTTTAAGAAAAAACAGAATTTAAAACGAACATGTTTCTAGAACTTAATTATTAGTTGTAAAAAATCAGAATTCTTAATGAACATTTTGCTTGCGATCATAATAATAAAAACTTGAAATTTCAGAAATTTAAATAAAAATTTCTGAAAAAATCAGAATATTTAATATTATTTTTACTTTCTAACAGCCAAACCTCTCAAGTGTTCAATTTCCTTATGGAGACCCTACTGCATGTTTTGGGGTTCCGCCATCTTTTGATATTTCAACAATGCCTCCTGACTACAATAATTTAGGTGTAACATGGGCTGGTCATCCATCTAGGTATTTTTAACAGAAAAATATTTTTCTAATTTTTAAATTTTTAGTTATAATCTTACATCAGCCCCAACTCCAGCAATTTGTGGAGGTTTTGGGGACATAGACGGGTTATATGGAAATACTAGTGGTCTAATAGCTTTGCCTGGACAACTTCAATATGAATTAGATCCCATGTTGGCTAATGGTTATGGTGTTTGGCCAACTGCGAATGGATATTATTTGGTAGAGAATATTAATATTTTTTGGATATTTTTTATTTTAAAGGGAAATGATCCTGGAAAATTATTAACAACAACTGATGGATCATTACAAGCAACTCAACCCCCTCCTCAACAATATTTAGGTGCTGCAAGTACAAGCAACAACTATACAGGAGGAGACAATGTTCAATCAACTGCAACAACTTTCTATGGTGCGGCTCCTCCATTGCAGGTAGTTTTGTTAAAGGGAAATTTTCAGAATTTTTAATTCTGAAAAATTAAAACTTTAATAAATAAATAAAACAAATTCTGAAATTTATAAAACATTAAAATGTTTGGTAAGCATCAGAGGTGGGTCAGAATTCCGATTTCCATTTCCGGCGTTTTTTCCTTCCGATTTCCGAAAAAATTTTGATTTCCGAGTCCGACTTTTGAGTCATTTCCAATTTCCGACAGTTCCGATTTCCGACCCTTTGTCATTTTCAGCCCACCTCTGGTAAGCATTATCGACCAGAACACAAAACAAACAAAACATTACAACATTCAACTTTACAAACATTTTATTGTAAAATTAAACTTTATTAAAAAACCTGTTTCTTTTCTCTTTTTACGAGAATATATTTTCTGATTGGTCATAATTATCTTCTTTTTATTATTTTTTATATTACTCTAATCTTTATGCCATCCAAAAATTTTTTCTTTTTTTTGGCATTTGCCGATGGCTCGCGACAATCTTTTCTTACAAAATTAGGCCGTAAATAATTATTTTTAAAAGGCAAATACCCCCCAAACCGCGCGCAAAACTCTGCTCACCAATATTATAAAAATTGTGAAAGAAAAAAAGGGATTTAGGCGGCAAATTAAAGAAAAATGTGGGAAAGAATTTCTTTACTTTTTTGGCGGCATTTTTTATACAGTCGTGGAAAAAAGTATGGAAGCGCTAGAAAATTTTTTCTTAATTCTTAATTTTTCATTCAAAAAATACGTTCTATATACCAATCGAAAGCTCTATTCGTATCTCAGTTGACATGTTTCTGCATTTTCCATGAAAATTAAAATTGGCCGAGATAATCCGGATCTACCGGATATACCAAATCCCACTTTTTCGGAAAAATTTTTCGGAATAAATCTAACAAACCCAAATGATAAAGCATATTTTTCTGAGTATTTTCCACAAAACCGCTTAGATATATCTTTTTTCGGAGCAGAGATATGATTTTTTGAAAATTGCATTTTTCGTCTATTTTTGCAAAAAATTCAATTTTTAAGCGAAAAATGCAATTTTCAAAAAATCATATCTCTGCTCCGAAAAAAGATATATCTAAGCGGTTTTGTGGAAAATACTCAAAAAAATATGCTTTATCATTTGGGTTTGTTAGATTTATTCCGAAAAAGTGGGATTTGGTATATCCGGTAGATCCGGATTATCTCGGCCAATTTTAATTTTCATGGAAAATGCAGAAACATGTCAACTGAGATACGAATAGAGCTTTCGATTGGTATATAGAACGTATTTTTTGAATGAAAAATTAAGAATTAAGAAAAAATTTTCTAGCGCTTCCATACTTTTTTCCACGACTGTATTTAAGGATAAAACTAAAAAAAAGTAATATTTTTAAAACACGTTGCGTTTTTGTATTTTTTTAATAAAAATTTATTTAAATATTTAATTTAAACAAATAATTAATTAAACTAAATTTAAAGCCTCCTTCTTCGATTGACCCAACTTCAGTTTTTCATACGGGCATTTCAACACTTCCCCCGCCACCTTCTCTATTGGCTTCCGCTGATCAACTTTATGGTGATTTTAAAATTTTAAAGTTATTTTTAAAATAATTAAAGGCCTCCAAAACGGCCCAAATGGAGTATTTGGCAACTTAACTTCTTTCGACCCTCTGCCTCCCTCCAACAACCTTTTGTCTGTATCAAATACAAATACGGAAACATCCAATACACCAGCAACACTCTTAAATTTGGAACAATGTTCGTCTTCTAACGGAAATCAATTTACTATTAGACAACCAGAACAACAACAACAATTACTTTTTGTTGGAACTCCGAATGGTCAGATAATTGAAGAGAAATTAAATACAAATTCTGGTAAAAAAATTAATAGAAAATACATACTTTATGTAACAATTCTGATTTTCTAGAAATCAGAATTTTTATTTAAAAATTTTAGACATGTTTTTTCGGAGATGTTTACAGAAATATGATCTTTCCGGACTTTTTCTGAGAATCTGTTTTCGCTGATTTTAAATATCCTAATAGAATGTTTGTTTAAAATAGTTTCGTCCAGAATAAACATTCTGAGATTTTTTATTTATTAAACATTTAAAATTCTGTTTCTCCCAATTTAATTAAAATTATTTAAATTAGTTCTAACTTCAACAACAATCCCAACAACTCTTTCACTAATTTCTCCACCTCCCCTTGTCGGCACAATTTCTTCAAAGACATCTATGGGGAAAAAGCACAAAACAAAGAAAAATCTTCAAAATTCCAATATTTTATTATCTCGTCCAAGTACTTCTTTGGGAGGGGGAGGGGGAATGTTATCTTCAACAACACCTTTCCATCCAAAATTAGGAAGTGAAAGTCCTTTTAAAGAAAAATTAAAACAAAGAGATACTTCTTCCTCGAATGGGCGAAAGTCTCGTTCACGTAGTTTATTAAAAGATTCAGATGATGATAAATCAGCGGAGGAAAGAGAAGTAGAACGTCGAAATGCTAATAATACGAGGGAAAGGTATTTAACGAAGAAATTGTTTTCCTTTTAATTTTTTTATTTCTCAGAATTCGAGTAAGAGATATAAATGCGGCATTTAAGGTTAAAAAAATATTTAAAAATATTTAAATAAAATATTTTTTATTTTGTAGGAATTAGCAAGGCTCTGTTGTAGTCACATGCCAAACTTAGAAGAAAGAAATTTAACTAAACTTAACACGGTAAAAAACAAAATTATTTTAACGTCTTTATAAAATAAAAATTAAACTGACACCTTTCCTTCTTCCCTAAAATTTTCCCATTTTAAATTATTGATAATTTTTGCCTGAGTTGACTTGATCTTGACATTAACCTTTGTTTAAGCGAAATTTTAACATTAGAAACCCTTTCATATTTACATATGTTATTAAGCTTAATTAAGTTCGAGAGCAAAATATAAATAAATAAATATCTTGAACACTAAAATTTCTATGTTTTATTTAAAATTCTGATTTTTCTTGAAAAATAATGTTAATAATAAATTAATATTTAAATTATAAGTAAATGTTTTTAATATTTTTTTTTAATTTTAGTTGTTGAAAGCTGTTGAACTTATTCCAATGTTGGAGAAAATGGTTGATGAAAAAGTAATAATTATTTTAAAATTTACAAATTAAATTAAATTTACAGACTCGAATGATGGATCCTCGTGGAGATTGTGTTAAACGAAGGATGGAAACAACAACAACAATTCCTGATTCTACTTCCTCTTCCTCCCTTTTATTAAATCCTTCCTCTAATGGAATTTTGAATTCCAATTTATTTAATACTTGTGGAGCTTCATCTGATTTATCTTCCTTAGCTTCTTCCTCTAATATTTTAAATCAACAACATTTTTTAAATTGAAAAGTAAAGAGAAGGTTAATGAAAAAACTCTGTGCAATTATAATTTAAATAAATAAATATATTATTTAATTATTTCAAAAATTATTTTGATAGAAAATATATTTGTTAAGTGTCTTAAATTAATTGGCATAAACTAATTTTAAAAATTATAAGCATTTTACATTATATAAATATTCTTTTTTTTCTTTCTTAAAATGTGAATTTTTTAATTAAATAAAATTACATTTATATTTAAAAATAATTATTTAAAAAACAACTCAAAATCTTAATTTTTAATTAAGAATTTTAAAAAAAATTGCTAAAAATCTAAAGTTAAGATATGGAGAGAAGGAAGAAGATTTTATTTAATTATTTTTATAAAAATTATTTTAAAATATATATTTTCATTTTACAATATTTTTGTAATTTTCTTTAATTAAATTCTAATGTTGTTAATGAATTTATTAAATTTTTCCTTTTCAATAAAAATTTTTTTACTTAAAATATATTTTTATATACATATAGTTTTTATAAAATATTTTTAAAATAAATTTTAAAATAATATTTTTTTAAAAGTTCTAAAATTAATTATAGGAATGACTTAAGGAATGAAAAATAAAATTTTTTTAAATTTCAATATACTTAAGGAATGACTTAAGGAACGAAGTAGTATCTTAACTTTGGGGTATCAATTAGATAACTCTTCCACTTATTAGCATAACAAATTTAAAAAATTAAATTGAGGTATATCTTTTATTTTTGTCCAATTGATGTCCAAAATTTAAATAAAAGTGAGAAAATTTGGCACAATACTAGATTCGAAAAAATAAATCGCTCATAAAATTCGTGTCACGACACTTGCAGATATGACATTTGCAGACCCGACACTTGCAGACCCGACTTTTGCAGACCCGACATTTGCAGATGCCGACACTTGCAGATATGACACTTGCAGATCAGACATTTGCAGATCCGACTTTTGCAGATTAGACCCATTTCGCTCTCTTCTTTACCTTATCTATAAACCGTGGAGTGATTGCTGCTGCGGAGGAATCCTGGGATGCCCATCTCATCGATGATAGGAATAGGATCATGTTACGAGCCCGGAGCCCAGCGACCGTTGACCCCCGCGAGGCGCGTGCCGCAAAAGCCCGCGCGAAGCGCGGGGTTTTGCACAAGCGCCTCGCCGGCGCTCCATATGTCTACGTTGAACATTTTGAACCTCCGGAAAAAAGAGTATGGGTCTTATATCAAAACCTTTGCACCGGTATATTATACTATATCCTTTGATTTTTGAAGATTTTTAAATTTTTTAAAATTTTTTTTCAAAAATTAATATCTGCAAAAGTCGGATCTGCAAATGTCTGATCTGCAAGTGTAATATCTGCAAGTGTCGTTATCTGCAAATGTCGATCTGCAAAAGTCGTCTGCAAATGTCGGGTCTGCAAATGTCATATCTGCAAGTGTCGTATGACCCATAAAATTAGCAGATAGCAAAACAAACACCTACCTACATAACTTCTCTTAGCTTTTAATTTTGCTGTAAAAGCTAAAAGAAAATTATTCTATTTAAGAAACAAAAGATTTTCAATAAAAATAAAAACAAATTATTTACTAGAATGCAGATTCTCTAATAAAATTTTACAGACATACAAATTCAAAAATTTAGGAAATTCAATAAATTCAATAATTTTTTCTCTATTTAAAAATTTAATAAATTTTATTTAAAAGTGCATACATAAAAAATTAGCCGACATGCCTCACAAGACTAATATATTTTTAAAAGTGCAAGTTGTTGCGTAATTATTGCTATTAACGCCAATTTTGTTATACATATTTTTTAATAATTGTCTAGCATAATTTTTAATACAAAAAATAAATTTATTTATTTAAAAAATGAATTTAAAAATAAATATTTATTTATTTTTAATATTATTTACTAATTTAATTAATTCAAATAATATTTTAAATAATCCAAAGATTCTTGTTGAATATACAGAAAAAAATAATAAACATATTAAAATTAATTTAATAAATATTGAATTTATTAAAGAGGTTTGTTTTTAATTAGTGGTGTTCAGAGTAGATTAAGGAGGGCAAGAACTTGTTTGTTTTTTCCTAAATAATTGTATTTTTTATTTATTCTGCTAATTCTAGGAGTGCAAAATTTCTTGAGGGGTTTTCTTGATTTCAATATTGAAGTTAAGTTAACTTCTTCAGATTTTTGGAAAATATTGTATTGAAATATAATTACTAGAGCCCGGATTTTTATGCATTAAAAAATGCAAAATATGCACTATAATATGCATAAAAAATTGCCAAAATATGCACAAAAATATGCAAGTAAACCAAAATATACACGCATATATGCATGAAAAATACCATTTATACCTAAAAATTTTACATTTTTTTAGTCAAAATGATTTAAAATACATTTTTTTATTGAGATTTCTCCTATTTTAAATGTATAGTTCGACAAATTGAGCATTTTTACGGTGTTGGGTATTTTGAGATGAGACATTTTGTTGGTGGGACATCTTGGGGTGCGACGTTTTGGGGCTGAGACATTATGAGTGTGGGCCATTTTCTGGCGAAACCAATAAACACAAAAATTTTTTTACAAAATTTGTAATTTTTACAAATTTTTTCCTAAATTTTTACTAAATTTTCACTTTTTGGCAGGATTTTAGGCAATTTTCGCAATATTTTCCCCAAAAACCTCAAAATATGCAGTAAAATATGCATTATGCAACAAAGTCCGGAATATGCAAGAATATGCATTATAAGCAAATAGAAACCCCCTCTAAAGTTTTCAAAACTTGCGGAAACAGTGTTTTTTGTGCATAACACATCATGAAAAGTTTGCAAAAAAAATATGCATTTGCATAAAAATCCGGGCTCTAATAATTACATGTAATGTTTATTCCTTTCTTGTTATGAGTGGCGTTCGCTCATTTTCTTTAGCTGTTATCTTATACATTTTAACACTTGAAAGGAAAAGGGAAAATAATCAAAAAATAATTAATTATTTTTAATTGTTTTATCTCTTTTCTTCCAAATGCCAAAAGGAATAACAGAAATTACCGGCTCTGGATATTCTGAGATTTACCAGAACCCGTCAACCTTAATATATCACCAAAAATTTTTAAATGAAATAGTCAAAATTTCACAATTTTAGGGGCACTTTTCATTTTATTTAAGTCATTGTTTAAATTTTATATAATCTAAATAATCAATTTTAAGGGAATTTCTGAAGAATATAGTTTTGGCAAGAAAGATTCGGTAGAAATTGAAATTGAAATTAATGGAATATTCAATGAATATGACTATATTTATTTATTAGAATCACCACCATATACTAATTACTTTCCTTCTACTAACAAAATTTATACAAAGAAAGATATTATTAATTTAAATAATAAAAAAATAATTTATTTAAAGGAAAAACTTGAAGATAAATATAGAAAAGGATTGGATATTTACTTGAACTTCTTAGCAAATGGAGTAAAAATATAATTTTAAATTATTGTTAAGGAGCATCCTTAACTAAGGACTAATGTGTGCCTGGCGCTAATTTTGTAGAAAAACACCGATCGGGACTTTAAATTTTTATTTATTTCCGAGTAAACTTAATTGGTTGGAAATTAGTTGGAATTAAAATAAATTTATATTAAATATATTAATTTAGAAAAAATAAATTTTTTTCAGCCAATTGTTAAGATTAGACCTGTTTTTAATGGTTTAATTGAAATAAATACGAGAGATGAAAATGGAGATGATTTACTAAATTCAAATGTAGTTGCACAAATAATCCGTCCGTGAATCTCTCTTACAGTTATAGAAAGTATTATAAAATTAAATGGAATTGAAGCAAAATTAATGGAATATATAAGCAATTTTAATATTATTAAATTAACAAAATTTCATTTATTTTTAAATTCAATTAAATGGAAAGCCGAAAAAATATACAAAAATATTGCTAAAAATTTAAGATCAGAAGAAATTGGTGGAAAGAACCCAAAAAATCCTTTTTTGAAAATTTGTGTTAAATTTAATGAAATTGGGAAATATTTTATTTATATTTATGGAAGGAAATATTTTAATTATCAAACAAATTCAAAACATTTATTCCAAATTTTTGTGCAAATAGAGAAAACAGATAAAGAGAAATGTTTAAATAAATTTTTTGGAAATATTTATGAAAGAAAAATATTAAAAGAAGAATTTGATAAATTTATTAATATTAAAATTGTTAAAACAAAAAATGAAAAATATAAAGATGGGGACATGATTATTGGTAATGGAATGGATAAATCCAAAATTATTACTCGTGTTTATATACAACCGAGGTTTGAATTGAAAAATAAAGAATAGAAGAAATAAGAAATTTTGTGTTTAAAGAGAAATTTAAAAAAAGAAATTGTCTAAACTAAAAACAGGACTGAGACAAGCTCTCGATTCTCGTTCCTTAACTATTGAAAATAATTTAATAATATTTTTTAATTAAATAATTAAAAAAAAATTAACAGAGAAAAAATTAACAGAAAAAATTAACAGAGTAAGGACTGTCTGAAAAAATTTATACTAAATATTATAACGAGGTTGTACATATCTTAACTTTAGGGTACTATCTCTCTCTTTTAATTTCTTTAGGGATATCAAATGATTAGTTGACAGCTTGGTGTAATGTCAACTCTTCTAGAATTGTTTTAATTAATTAAAATTTTAAAGAATATAAATTTATGATAAAATTATTTATATTCATATAAGCCTGTACCCGTAAGCAAGCCTGGTTGTTTAAAAAGGAATTGTCTAACCAAATTATTCTCCAACTTTTTATCCTATTGGAAAAAAGAAAAATAAAAAAATTTGAATTGGTTTAATTATTTTTAATAATAACTTTTAATAAATTTCTTAGTCATTCTTTAAAAGTTTTTCTAATTTTAATAGTAAATATAAGTTTTAAAAATATAAGGATTAAAAATCAAGAGAACGAGGAACTTTGAGAAAATTAAAAGGATATTTTCAAAAAAAAATACAGTATAAACAAAGTTTTTCTTGTTGGGTGAGGGGGGGGGGGAAGGGGGGGGTGAGGAGGGAGAGGGATTTGTGAAAAATAAAGTTGTACTTTGATAATTAATTACGTCTACGATTTTTTTCAATTTTCTCTTTGCCAATGCGGAAATGTTTGTCTGGACTTTAAGAAAATAAATACTTGGACTAAAGTATTTATTGAAAGTAAATAATTAAATAAAAGTTTAAATATTTTATAGACATTTTAGCTAAAAAATAATTAAATAATGACTAATATTAACTAAATACATAAAATGCTAATTGAAATTTGGGATAAATAATTAAATAATCACTAGATAGTTCAGTCCAATAAATATTAAAGTTTTGTTCTAATTAATTTCCTCGATCTTCTTTTGTGTTCCCTCCTTTGTTTTGAATTATTTTTAATTCCCGATTGTATCCTCTCCAAAGTTCTCGAAATACTCGTTGTTTGGACTAACCGGCAATTAACCAAACTGAAAAAACAGTCATTCCTTTTTCGTTTTTTAATTTCTTCTTGTTGTTGGTCATTTATTGGGTTTTGTATAATTAATTCAATATTTTCTCCTGAAGCTGAGAGGGAGGAGATAAGGCGATTAACTAAAGAAGCTGAATCATCGTTGGTAGAAGATAATTGAATTTCTTGCCTAAATATTAAAAAATATTAGAGAATAGTTTATAAAATTTAAGCTTATGAATTAGTTAGCTTTAGTGCTTTTTTCAAAATATGAAGGTGTTTGTTAGACTTTTTAATAATTATCCTGAAGCTGAGAGGGTTGTGTCTCTGTAGAGACAAGAGACACTACTGGGAGGGTTATACGAGAAACGTACGAGATATCTCGAAAAATGCCGATACCGATAACCGAGCCTTTTATTTAAGATCCCATCAAGAGAATCACCATTGTTATTTTTGCTGAAATATTTTAAACAAACAATTTACCTATTTAATTCATTTTCATCTGCACCATTTAAGTGAAAAGATTTGCTAATTTCATGATTTCGGACACGTCTTAGTCGAGGATGTAAAACAGCTGAATAAATTAAATCAGCAGATAAAATTAAAATAAATGATTGGATGTTGAATAGTTTAGACATTTGTCTGATAATATTTATGTACTAAAAATTAAAAAAGAAAATTAAAAACTATTTACAATTTATTTGAGATAAATATTAAATTAGTCAAAATTTTATTTATCAAATAACAAGAGTGAAGTTTTAATTTACAAATGAATATGACCAGCATTTTTTAAAAAGGGCGTGCCAAAAAATGTAGCAACTTGCTTTATAATCCTTTTTTAAAAGGACATTAAAATTACTAAATGTCAACAACCTATAAATTAATTTTAGATTTTTGGTATGGTTTCTTAAGTTTTGCGAGAGAAAACATGACGTTTTTTGTGAGACTTTAATTTTTATTGTTAAAAATTGGGACGGAAATACGTACTAAAATACTTTTAACCTTCAAAGGAAGTAAAGTTTGGTAAAATTAAAAGTAAATGAGCACATAAGATTATAAATTTATTTTCTCGATTAATTCCCCTGGGGAATTAATTTCTCAACCTATCCATGGCATGGGGGATTAATCGAGAGGGGGAATTATTCGAGAGAGGGGAATTAATCGAGAAAATACGGTAAATTTATACACAAATACATAATTTATTAATGAGAATCAAAGTTAGAATAATGATTAAGTTTAAGTCAACTTATTAATTCTTACTCATAAATATAAGCAAATCTTCTCTCCATTAAAATTTATTATAAAGATGTGTGTATTTATTATAAATTAAATGTTATATGAGTAAAAATAAAATGCTTTAGAATGCTTTAAAATGCTTAAAACTTACAAAAAAATATGAAATCATTTTAAAACAATGATTGTGGGATCTTTAAAATTTGGAAATAAAACACCCTCAAAGGATTAGATAGTCTAACAATTTACTTACTAATAAATATATTTTATTATTTACTTAACTATATAATTTTTATTGTTTGCTGTTAATTTATTTCTTAAATTTTTAACTAATCCTTTTTAAATATTTAGCTTTTTTTTTAAATTAAAGCATTAATTAAAAACTTGTTTATTTAATAAATAATAATTAATTATTTTAAATAACGTTTACTACTTATTAAATAAATAACTTGATATAATGTTTATTGCTTTAAAATTAAAAGTAAGAAAAAAATAATATTTATATATTAGTTGTTTATATTAAATATTTTAATTTAGTTTGTGTGTTTGTTTTTCTTAAAAATGTTTGGTAAAAAATATTTAAAAAAATGAATTAATATTTTATAAACGTAATTCATATTTAATTAAATTTTGATTGCTTTTCATCATCCATTCACTCATTTAACGGGCAAAATAACAAAAAACATTTTCCTTATTTACAGCTAAAAACTTAATCGTTTCATTAAATCCTTAAAAACATTTATGTAATTTAGTTCTTTCTAATGACCTTTATTAAATACGTGGAAAATGGTATGGCTTTTCAAATAAATTTAAAGAAAAGGGAGTTGATGGACTAAAAATGAGAGGATAACTGGTTGGACTAAATGAGAGGACAACTTTCCCCCTTTAATAAAAAACTTTTCTTTTTTTTTAATTTCACACGTAAAACCATTAAAAAAAGCTTTGAATTGAACTTGTATTTAAATTTAAAAAAATAATAATCTGGATAAATGTGTAGATTTATGGATGGGTTAAATGCTGGCACTAATGGACATTTATCTTTTTATTTTTAATCCCCTTTTGACTTGTTAATTTGCATCTGTCAATTTGACATTTAAAATATTTTTTTATTTAATACTAACTAGAGTAATATATGAATATTCTTAAAATAGAATATAACACTTTAGTTAATCTTTATTTATGATGAGTACTTGGATTTTAGAAAGAGAGATAAAGAGATATGTAATTTTAAAGTTTTTAAGTGCTAGTTTAAATTGAAATTTTTTTAAATTTTATAAAAATTCAAGATTTTTATTTTTTGGTCTTTTCTTTTTAAATTTAAAAAAATTCTTTTTTTAAATTTCTTTTTTGGTTTCTATTTATATCTTATCATTAATATTTTTTTTCTCAAAAAAATTTTTTGGGTAAAATTTCTTGTAACCTTAAACAAAAAATTTTTTCGGAAATTAAGTACTTAGGTAATTGTTTTTTTTTGTTTCACCAATTAAATCCATTCCTAAATTAAATATTATTTTAAATATTTTTTTCTAAATAATTCAAAAACCTGTTTATAAAATATTTTTTCTTTAAATTTATTTGACAATCTATTTTTAAACTTTAAAAGTAAATGTACGCGTGACAGACAATTATTTTTAATCACAAACAAAATGTTCGATGATTAGTTTTAAAAATTTTCTCTCAAAACAAACAAAATTTTTTGACAGATAATGACTGTCAATAAAATCGTATTTTCTCTATTAGAAGAATAATCCCTTTACTTTAATGACCACCTCTAATAGAATGGCTCCTTTTTAATGCCGAAAATTTCCCAAATAAAAAAGATATTCAACCCAACCAAATTTCCATTCGCTTTTCTTATTTTTCTCGGAATTTTTTGGAGTTATTGAAAAAATATAGAAATTATTTTCAATTTAGTATATTTTTTCCAAAACAGATATTTGGGGGAGTAGGTTTGAGAATCTAATGGATATCACGGATTTTTTAAAATTAATCCAGTAAATGCTGTAATCTCGCTGAGATTAGAGTTTACTTAATAGATATCAAAAATGTTAGAAGATTTTAGTGATATCGGAGGATATCGGTGGATTAAAGGGCTCAAAGAGATTTAGAGAGATTTCGAGAGATTTGCATGGATTAACAGTGTATTAGTGGATTGTGAGGATTAAAAGGAATATCGAGGGATAAAGAGAAATTAAGGAGAGATTGAGAGGGATATCGGCAAGTTGAGGAAATTAAGAATAGTATAGAGGAGTAGAAGGGAATAAAGAAATTTGAGGGATTAAGGAGGAATCGGTGAGTGGGAGGAATTAAGTGTGCTATTAATAATTGTATAAAACTTTAAAAAGATGTTTTCTGCAAAATTATTTTTTGCTATTCTAAATCTTTTGTTTTGGTAAAAAGAAATTTGTTATTAAAATTAACGTTTAAAAAAATATAAAAAAAATATAAAAAATGCAATGACCCCCCCCCCCCCACTCCCAGTTGAATGGCCCCTTCTAAGACAAAGGCCCTTTGGTTGATGTTTGAAAAATAGAATGGCCGGCCATTCTATTAGAGAAAATACGTATTTACATTTATAGATGAAAGATTTTGGCCGTGGAGATGAATTTATCATTATTTTAATATTTATCTTATTATTTTATAAATTTACTCAATTTTTTTCATTTATTATATTATCAATACTGCTTTTATGTTTTTGGTTATGGTAAATAGGATTTTTAAATAAATATTTATTTACCTAATTATTTGTAAGGCGTTTATACGACAAAAAACGGTATTGGTTAAAACAAGGAGTGCCAAGTTCCCCAGCAAATCTTTTTGTAGGTCATATGAAGGATGTAAGATCCTACAATGGAGTAATTGAATTCGAGAAAGAACAATTTAAGAAATTTGGTAAAACATATGGGTAAGAGTTGAATACTTATTTTCTAGACTAGCGATAATTTATTAGCATGTATTTTCTTGACATGAACTGTCTTGTGACAATGGATTTGGATTTAATCAAACAAATTTGCATTAAAGACTTTGCCCATTTTCCAGCTCGTTTTTCAGTTATTTTTTAGTATAAATACTTAAATAAATAATTAATTAAGGGCCTTCCAGATACCCAAAATAAAAAAATAATTCAAAAAAGCCTGCTTAGAAGCATGGTTTCTGTAATCCAAGGAGACGATTGGCGACGTGTTCGCAATCGTATAACTCCAGCATTTACAACGGGAAAATTGAAAAAGGTCAGAAATGTAAATTTCTATAATTTTTTCTTATCAATTTTAGATAATTCCAACGATTGCCGAAAGCTCTAATCACTTGATTAACTATATTTCTCGTAAATATGTAGTAACAAACGAGGAAATACCCTTGAAGGAGTAAGTACTTAAATGTGACAATATTTTATGCCCACATAATATCTAGAATTTTTGGCCGTTTTGCTCTTGATGTGATTGGCCGTTCTGGATTTTCATCAGATTTTAAAACATTTTCGGATGAGGACAGTGAAATAGTTAAACAAACACTTGTTTTCTCAAATCCCGCAAGAAATATGGTCTACTTTGCCTTTATGAGTTATTTTTAAATTTAATTATTTCTAAATTGTGTTAACATATTTCAGCATTCTTTCCCTTCCTAAATAGTTTGCTAGAACGTTTCTGTTAGGGTGGCGGCTTAGTATAAAAGGCGAAGCCTTTTAGTAGTCGAGGAGTTAGTTAGTCAGTCTACAGTTAGCCCATAGTCTAGTCAAAGCCAACGCACAGTCTCGCCTATTTCTATTGTATTGTTGCTTGTGATAAACTTTGTTGTTAGTCAAGTCTTGTTTCTGTTAGTATCGGACACACCGCAAGACGATACATAACAGTGGCGCGGTCGCAGTTATTCGAACAATTCAAGTTAGTTTGCATTAGTCAGTAGTAAAATAATTAGTCAATTCAGATGGATCAGCAAATTCTTGAAAAATTCCTGCAGTCGCAAATTCAGATGCAAGCTCAGTCACAACAGATGCAACAATTGCAAGCTCAGATGCTGGAGATGATGAAAGGCAAAAAGTCAGAGGAACCAAAGTCGGAGGAGAAACAGTCAACAGACTTGTACTGTAAGTTGAAGACGCTAGTTACAGAGTTCCAGGCAGACATCGAAAAGGGGGTCACATTTGAGTCATGGTACCTCAAAAATAAGTCTTACTTCGAGGTAGACGCCAAGTCCTTAGAGGAAAAAGTCAAAGTCCGGTTGTTAGTAGATAAGTTAGGGCAAGTTGAGTATTCGAAGATGGCGCAAAAGTTATTGCCCAGAGAATTAGTTGAGATGGACTTTGGGGAATTAGTCGGAGAGTTGAAAAAGGAATTCTGTGATCCCCGTTCCAAATTAGTCAAACGTTTCGAAGTCATTAAAATGAAATGCCCTTGTATCGAAAAAATTCTTGAGTTTGGAACTCTAGTAAACGCAGAATGTGAAAAGGCGGAAATGGCGTTGACAGTCGAAGAAAGTAAAATTCTTGTGTTCATTGCAGGCATTCCAGAGGAAGCGTTAGATGTCCGGCAAATCAGTCTGAGATTCGTAGAGAAATATTCAAAGTCAGAAGTATGCACATTGAAGGCATTGATGGAGGAAGTCCGTAGCTATTTGGCAAATAAGTCTGATGCAAAGGTATTCGCGGATAACCAGTCAAAGGTCAGATTTGAACCTGAATATTCTGTGGAGGTGAATAATATTAGTAAAACTATTCAGGTCAATCAAAATGTGAAAAGTAGTAAAGACGAAAAGGACAAAAGGAATCAATTCAGTCAAGGAGAAGAACGTCAACATAGTCAAGTCAATGATCGACAATTTAGTCAGACAAGTCGTCCACAATATGGACAGAAGGAGTGCTATAATTGTGGGAAGAGGGGACACATTAGCCGATTCTGTAGATACCCTAGAGGTTGGTTAAATCGTAATAGTCGCCCAGAAGTTAATTATATGTCTATTGACCCTAATAATTCAGGTCCATATGTGTGTATTGCCGATATTGTCGATCCGACACAGATTCTGCTAAAAGAGAAATGGATTACACAGTCAGTCAAGTTAAACGACAAAAACGTTGAGATGATTGTCGATTCAGCGGCACAAATCAATTGTATTACCGAAGCGACCTGGAACGATTTGGGCAAGCCTGAGATTAGTCAAGTCAATTATTCTGGAGTCGGGTTAGGCAAATCGAACTTCAAGATAGAAGGCAAAGTCAAGGTCAAGGTTGAGTTATTTGGGAAAACCTCGGAAGAAGAAGTCCACATAGTCGAAGGAAACATTAATATCATGGGACTTCCGTGGTTAAACAAATTCGGGACAAAATCGCCAGTCTTGTCGCAATATTTTGCAAGAGGAAGTCAAAACAAAAGTCAAAAGTGGAAAGATTGGAGAAGCCCAAAGTCCAAGATACAAGAGACGCCGATTCGAAATAAAGAATTCAATAGTCAAGAATCGAAGAAACCATTCCATAGTCAAAAGAAGAAAGCTTGGCGAAGAACGAATAAATTCGAAAATGGAATGGAAGTCTTAGTCAAAAACACGAATCGTAGTGGTAAAACAATGTGGTTAGCAGGGAAGTTGATGAACAAAGTCGGGCAAATTTGGAAAGTCCAAGTGCCATCATTGCGTAGCATAGTCAGCCGTGAGGAGTGGTTTATTCGAAAGAAAAAGTGGTTCGATGATGCAACAATGAAAAGTCAATCAAAAGAGGATCAAAGGTCGAGCTCGGTTGAAAGTCTGGGGGCAGAAGACAAAGAGAAACTTTCAGCGATCTTTAAGAAGAACATCCGGATCCTCCAGAAAGAAGACGAATTGCAGGACGTGGACATCGAACTTGTGAGCGAAGAAAACATGAAGCAAAAAGATGAGCCAATGCACGCGAGCACTGGAACGGAAGATGATCGGAAATAGAGGGAATGTAAATAAGAAGTAAATAATTGTGATAATATTGTTTTTGTAAATTTTTGTTTGTAATTATTGTATATCCCCTTTTTGTTTGCTCACATTGTATTTTGGCCCTTTGTATGTATTTTCAATGTTTTGTTTGCGTTGGCTAGTAGTTTTTTTGAAGTCCACCAAGTCTAGTCGGAAGCGTAGTCCCGACTTAATTAAAGAAGGGAGGTGTTAGGGTGGCGGCTTAGTATAAAAGGCGAAGCCTTTTAGTAGTCGAGGAGTTAGTTAGTCAGTCTACAGTTAGCCCATAGTCTAGTCAAAGCCAACGCACAGTCTCGCCTATTTCTATTGTATTGTTGCTTGTGATAAACTTTGTTGTTAGTCAAGTCTTGTTTCTGTTAGTATCGGACACACCGCAAGACGATACATAACAGTTTCTTTTCTTTTGATTTATGGGATATGCCTGCGCAAAGATTTTTCCACGGTATTATGTCCAAATTGTATGATGAACGTAAGGATGATCCTGAGGCGAAGGATGTGGGTTATTCCGGGATGCTAGAAAGTGTTTACTTAGAAATATATTTATTTAGAAATATAATGACATATTTCAATTACTCATGAATGCTGTAAATGATTCTGAGGCCTCCGAACTAGAGGATGTTACAAAGGGTCAACCTACCGATGAACTAAAAAATAATTTGATAACGAAACAGTATGATAAATATCTCAGCAAAATAGAGCTTTTTGCTCAAGGGCTTATACTTCTAATTGCTGGGTTAGAAATTTATTCAAAACTAAAGCTATGGTTTAAATATTTTTTGTTTAAACAGATATGATACAACAGGTTCAGTTTTGCAATTTGCTATTTATATGCTTGCAATGAATCCAGAAGTTCAGGCAAAATTGAGAGAGGAAATTAATTGTGTGCTTGGGGAAGAAGTAAAAATAGATTTTATTTTTAAATAAATTCATTTCAGGAACAAATTTCCTATGAGCATTTAAAAAGGATGGAGTATCTACAGGCAGTTGTTCAGGAAACTTTAAGAATGTATCCGCCAGCTCCCTCGTAATTAAACTTTAATAAATCAAAATTATGCACCTATTTTCTTAGCTCCAATCGTGAATGTAATTCTAATTTAAATATAAACGGAATTAATTTACGCGAAGGAGATTTAGTTTTTATACCAATCTATTCTATTCAACATAATGAAGAATTTTACCCCGAACCTGAAAAATTTAAGCCGGAAAGGTAATTGCTTCTTAATTATACTTCTAAATAAACCATTTTTAAAATAAAAATTATTTAAAGATTTATTCGGGAAGAAAAAACTTCTTTGGATCCGTTAGCGTTCTTAGCCTTCGGATTAGGCCAAAGAAACTGTATTGGAATGCGTTTTGCTGAATTCCAAATGCATGTAGTCATTGCTCTTATTGTCAGGCGTTTTAACTTCAAGCCGGGTCCAAACAGTCCGGTTATTTAAAATTTAAAGAAATTTAACAATTATCAATTCAGAGTCTACCCCTAGAACTTGAATCAATTATGCTTTTACGTCCTAAGGAAAAACTTGTAGTTTTGGCTGAGGATTTGCTGTAAAAATATTTTTGTTTTTAAAATAATGCGAAAATTCTATAAAATCTAAAAACGTAAATAAAAAAATTTAATTTAATATTTAATGGTTATAAATAAATGTTTATATAATTAATTTTTCTGGGAACAATACTTTTGGATAATAAATAAAAGAGAATTTATTTAAATATTAACAAGTGAGAAAAAAAATTATCCTATGTAAATTTCTAATTCTAAATTTTATTTGTTCTTCTAACATCCGCGTATTTGTTCACCCAATATTTTATGAAATTCGCCAATACTTTTATCTGTAAAAACTTTATTAGGATCTCCACTAATCCTAGCCAATTCATCCCTAGCAACAACCATTGTTTCGTTATTATTTACAGCAACAGCAAAAATATTGGGAATAAGTTTATGAAGTTCTATTGATTCAACTGAAAAGTCATGTTGTCCAAATCCATCAGTAATAACAACTGCTATCGGGGTTGCCACACCTGGCCTGGCACCTCGCTCAATTGTATACTCGGCAATTGCCTAAATAATTGATTAAATACTAGTTTCACTTAAGTAAAAAAATTAAAAAAATTGTTCTGGTTTTTAATCAGAATTTTAATATTTTAATTTTATTATTTTAAACCAAATGTTTATATAAAATTCTGATATTTGTGAAAAAAATTTTTGTTCATTTAATATTCTGATTTTATTTTGGATTAATAATTTTCCAATTCCTTCTAGATACAATTCTGATTTTTTCAGAAGTGCTTTACTTAAAACAAACATTTTAAATTTTGATCTTTCACATTTACTTAAAATTATATTTATTTCAGAAAATGTTCTGAACAATTAATTAGTAGTATTCATTACCTGTCGTAGAGCAGAATGTATAGCTGTAATTCCATCACTAAATGGAATGTCATTGAGCAAATAAAGCAACCTTTCTTGACTTTGAGGTGATAAAAATGATTGTATTGTGCGCACTTTATCTGCCGCTGCAAATTTAATAAGTGCGACATGTGCATTCTTGGGACCCAACCGCAGTTTTCGAATTATATCTGCAGCTAAACGCTTTTCTTGTTCAAAAGCCTGTTCCACACTGCCAGATGAATCAATTAAAAGAATTAAATCAATAAGACATCCAGGTCTGAATGTTGTTGTTGGTGATGAAAATGTGCTTGAAGTTGTAGATGGTGTTGATGTCGATGAGGATATGATTGATGGAAGAGGTGAACGTGTTCTTTGAGAAGAAATTATTTGTGTTGTTTTAGGTTCTAATATTGTTTGTTGTTTTCGGGAGATTCTAAAAGAATTAATTGATGTTGCAGTTGGTCTTCTAGTAGTAAAATCAGTATTCTGAAAATGTTTAATTCAATAATTTATTTTTCAACTTATCCGGAAATGTTTATTTTATGATGTCTAGTACCTTTCCGGAATGTTTAAATTTAAAATGTTTAGTTAACTTTTCCGAAACATTAAATTTGATTAAACATTCCAGAGATGTTTATTTACCTTTTCCGGAAATGTTTATTTTATGTTTTGTTTCTTTTCTGGGAAGGTTAATTTAATTTCAGATGTTTTCTAATTTTACGGAAATGTTTAATTTTATGATGTTTTGTTTATTTTCCGGAAAAAGTTTAATTTTCTGACGTTTATATAACTTTTCCGGAAAGGTCTAATTTTCTGATGTTTTTCCGGAAAATGTTTAATTTTCTGATGTTTTATTTGTTTAATTTTTGTTTATTTGTTTAAATGTTTAATTTTATTTGTTTAAATGTTTTATTTGTTTAAATGTTTTATTTGTTTAAATGTTTAATTTTCTGATGTTTAATTTTCTGATGCTTTTCCGGAAAGGTTTAATTTTAGATGTTTTGCTAATTTTCCGGAAAAAGTTTAATTTTCTGGGTTTTGTTTACTTTCCGGAAAAGGTTTAATTTTCTGATGTTTTTTTTACTTTCCGGAAAATGTTTAATTTTCTGATGTTTTGTTTATTTTCCGGAAAATGTTTAATTCTCTGATGTTTTATTTATTTTCCGGAAAGTTTAATTTTCAGATGTTTTGTTTATTTTCCGGAAAAAGTTTAATTCTCTGATGTTTTGTTTATTTTCCGGAAAATGTTTAATTTTCTGATGTTTTTAGATGATTAAGTATAAATCCTATCTATTTCTAAACATTTGTTTATATTTTTGATTTGTTCTGATTTAATTTCTATAATACAAAAATTACTAACCAACTCATCTCTTCTTCTTTGACTAAAAACATTGTTTCTGAAATTATTTTCATTAATTCTTCCAACATTTTGTTTATTAGTTGTTTTCTGTAAAGCAATTGTTGATAATTTTGTAGTAGAAAGATTAATTAATGTTGGGGGTATTGTACTAGTAACAATTATACTCTTTGTTGTATTTATTCTAGACAAGACAACTCTCTCAATATTTTTTAAATTATTTTCATTTAATTTTTGTTTGTTAGGCAAAACAATTTTATTTTCCAAATTTAAATTAAAATTTTCTTCTTCCTCTTTTTTCAAAGGTAAAACAGCTACTATATCTTTTTGACGTTGATTTTTCTCTTCTTTTCCTTTTTCCTCAATTTCTTCAATAATTTTCTTTTCTTCAATTAATATCCTTTTTGAAGAATTATTTTTGATTTCTCTTCTTTCAAAAGGTTCTTCCTCCATTTCTTCATCATCCTTTGACTTTTCTATTTGTTCTTCACTTCCTGCTACAAAGAAGTTTGAAGAGGAATTTAATTGAGATTCGGATGGTTGACATTCTAATGCTTTGGCCAAAAGAAAGTGAGCAAATTCAGCATTTCTATCATAGGGGTAAATACGTTCAGCAGAGCCAGTAAATGCACTCAACTGTTAAATAATAACATTTGAATAATTGATGTTATTTACTTATAATAAAATAACCATACCGTTTGTTCATCCACTTCCTTAGAACTATCTACTGCATGACAGCTAAGACCTGGGGTCTTTAATTTAAAAAGTTTTAAATTTAAAATATTAATTTTTTACCTTCTTAATTAATTCCCCAACCCTTTTTCTCTCTTCCGGCCCTTCCAAATCATTCTTCCCATCTCCCACAATTAAAATAAGCCCATTAGATTCAGGTCTTCTCCCAGCCCCATTATAATAATTAATTGCTGTTTCGACAGCTTTCGAATAATTTGGACGTATAGGGATTGAACGAATCCGTTCAATTTTCTTAAATATAGATTCTCTATCCTGAACTTCAGAAAAATAAAGTTCTTGGTGTTGTTCTCCAATCGAAATAACTGCTAAACGGACTCGATGACTGAGAGGAAGAGAACCTTTAATGAATGATGAGAAAAATTATAGGAAAAAAATAACCGAGAACATCTAGAAGTAAATAACGATTAGAACTCAATTTTGGATCATTCCCTGTTGAACTAATGTCTGTATTGTCTAGAACAACAATTAAATCAAGTTTTGCTTTTTGGCAAGTGTTACTGTCATCTCTCTATAAATTTTAGTTTTTAGATAAATTATGTTTAATATGTATACTAGGGTTGTTGGCGTCCGGTTATTAACCGGTACCCCCGGTTTTCGGTTAATCCAAATCTTAGAAACCCGGTTTTCGGTTTTGAGTTTTAGGCAAATACCGGTTTTATTTTGGGGGAATTTTTAATAAAATCACTCATTTTCACAAATTTCCGGTTTTCGGTTTTTAAAATTTTCTAAAAACGGTTAATTTTTGGCAAAAATTTTCAAAAATTTCGGTTTTAAAACCGGTCGCCAACAACCCTAATGTATACCTGAAAATCTCCAAATTCTCGAGGACCATTATCACCCCCAACGCCTTCTTTATTCTTTTTATCGTTTTTATTCAAATTTTCAATTTTCTTTTCGGAATTATTATCACATTTAATATTATTATTTATTAGCCCAACAATATCTTCCAAAAATCGTTCAGTAGAACCGTCTCTATAAATTCTTTTTTTATCCCCAACATACTTAAAAATAAATTTAATTTAAGTATTTTAATATTAATTAATTTACGTGTTCCAATTCTCTTAAATCTACTTCCTCCCCAAGTGCTACTCCAAAACGTTCAGCCCCTGATTGGGCAAGTCTTTTACTTGCAGCCAAAACATTTTCCCATGGATCTTGACTCATTCCGTCATTCATCAGAACAATTACCTTTAAGGACATGAAAAATGTTTTGAACAATATTTATTTGGGGAAATGTTTATTTAAAATTTTGGTTTTTCTGAAGTAGGTTATTTGAATGCAAATTCTTAAGGAAAATAAATTATTAAGAAATTTCAAAAATATTTTCCAAAAATTTTAATTAAAATTTTTTTAAACAAATTGAGGACTTGTAAAGCGTCATCTCTTCTTCCTTTCTCCAAATCCTGAACAGCCAATTCTACAGCTTTTGAAGTTAAAGTACTTCCACCCCTATAACTAATATCTTCTATTGCTTTTCTAACCATCTAAATAAAAATTTAAAATTTAATTTAGAAAAATTATTTTTGCCTTTCTTTCACGTCCCAATCCCAATGTTTGTCTCAAAACGGGGACATTAGTAAAACTATTTATTCCAATAGCAACATGTGTATCATCTACACTTATTGGAAGTTTTTCAATTAATGAAAGGGCTAATTCCCTTTGGTGTTCAAATACACTTTCTCTTGAAGAAGAAGCATCCAAAATTATTATCTAAATTGGTTTAAAAACCTTTATTGGTTAAAATTCTGATTTTTTGGGAATATTTAAAATTATTATCCTTTCTGAAATTATTAAGATGAAATTCTGACTTTTTTAAAATATTTATTAAAAAGGATTCAGTAATTAAAACAAATATATATTTACCAACCAGATCCATTTTTGAGTAGCTACAATTTGCTAAAATATTTTTCTCATTATTATTTCCATTATTTTCACTTATTTGCACAGATTTTACTTCTTCATCCCTTTCAAATCTATCATCATTTTCTTCTTCATTTAATTCTAAAATTCTTGTTTTCTGAACAATTCCAGCATGTGCTTTAGCTGGCTTTATTAAATTATTGTCTGTATTGACCTTAAAATTAATTCAGATAAATTACAAAATATTTTAATTGAAAATTTTGAGTGGAAAAAACTTTGAAATTGTTTTTCTTAATAATTTAATTTGGGAGCAAAAACAATCTAAAACCTACTTCAGTTAAAGATTCTTCTTTATGTCCAATACAACCAACAACTGACTGTCCAACCTCCTTTAAGAAAAGTACATCACTTCCACGATCTGTATAAATTCTTTTAGGGTTCTTTATATATTCCAATAATTCATTTTGTGCAAAATTATCAGAAAAACTGATTGCATAAAGCTTTAAATTAATTTAAAAAATTAATTTAAATTTTTTTTTAAATATTTTAGACTTCATTAGTTGTGTTTCTAAGCTTTTGTGAGGCTATTTGAACCTTTGACCATTCATCTTGACTATGTCCATCAGTTATTAATATAATAATAAGTCGAGCATTTGAACGATGCCCTCTAGATATTTCTTCTAATGCCTACAATTTTTTGAAGTAAAATTTAAAAAAAATTTCCCAAACAGTTTCTGAAGCAGCCACTAAAGAAGTAGGCCCTCCTGTATGTTCAATACTTTCAATTTCTTTAAGAATATCATTTTGTTTTCTTCCAATAACAAAAGGAAATTGTAAAATTGCTTTTTTATTGAAAATAATTAATGAAATTGATAAACGGTTCTTTTAAAATAAAAAAAATAAAAATACAAAAAATAAATAAAATTTACATTAAAATCTTGTTCAGGTAAAATACTAATTAAATCAAGAGCAAACTTTTTTTGAGCAACAAAATCTTTCTGAAAAATTAATAGAGAAAATAAAATTAATGTGTGAAGAATTAACTATACATTAATATATCCTTTTTTCGAGTAAGGACAAGACAGTGTCATTATTATTAAAAACAGACTACTACATAAGAACACAAAATTTTGTGGACTAATAAATCGGCTCCTATACAACTCATCCAATCCTTAACTCATCTACGCTTTTTGACCGAGTAGATGAAAGGATTGGATGAGTTAAGGGGACACGAATAAATCAGAGAACCTTTAAAAATGTTTTAAGGGTGGCTAAACAACATGGCTAACAACTCTAATATAATCTGAGATTACCATAATTAAAATACCTCCACACTAGTAGAAGTATCTAAAATAAAAAGAATATCAACATTTTGAATATTACAATCATTAACAGAAGTACTAGCTGTTGTTGTTCTACTAATTAATTGACTAGTAATTGTTGAAGTTTCAGAATTTTTAAACAAAGTTGGGAAAAATGTTGAAGAAGAGATAGTTGTTGTTGGTGAGATAATTAAAGAGGGAGAGATTGTAGAAGAAAAAGAAATGGGAAAGTTTTGTTTTTGTTCTGATTGTTGTATTGTGTTTGGATTAATTAATCTTTTGAAAGGAAAATCAGAAATTGCTTCTAATTTTGTTAAATTCTGATTTTTATTATTATTAATTGTTTCTGATAATTTAAGAGAAGTTTTAATGTTTTTGTCACAAATCAGAATTTTTTCGATATCTTCAAAAAATTGTTTTGTTCGATCATTTATATAAACTTTCATTTCATTTCCAGCTAACAATTCTAATTCACTTTAAAATTAAATATTTTAAATAAAATATTTTTTTTTCTTTAATTTACCGAAAGAAATGGTCATGGCTAACAGTTACTGCAAATACCTCAATTCCAGAAACTTGTAATCTACCAGCTGTTGCAACTACATCTCCCCAAGGATCTTGGCTATTCCCATCTTGGAAATAAAAAATTTAAATTAAAAAATAAAAGTTATAATATTAGGCTGGGTTTCTTTTGGCTCTGTTAGTAAAATCGTCTTTAGCGTTTATTATCTTTCAAGCTTATAACAGCTCTGATTTAAAAATTTTCAAATCTCGGGTCCTGTTTCTGAGTTTTTCTGTTGTAACCTGACCAGAATCTGAGTTTCAGAGTTAACTCCCGGAAAATTTAGTTCTGTCAACAGTAACAGATTCAATGATATCGGTCTACACCAGGTCAGAGAGCTGACGTGGCTCAAAAAATTAATATTTAAAGTTTGATATTTTCGGTTAAAGTAATAAGGATTTTTCAAGGAGAATGCTGATCTATATTCTTTAGATAAATTCTGATTTAAAAGTACCAGAAACTAAAACAATAATTTGTCTAGCATCAGAACGTCTCTTTTTCTCAATTTGTTCCAAAGCTAAATTAATTCCACTAACTGCAGAAGTACTTCCTCCAGTGTGTTGAATGTTTGAAATTGCTTCAAAAATTTTATTTTTTTCTTTAATTTCTCCAATAGAAAAATGCAATAAAGAATTTCGATGGAAAGAAACTGCCCCAATTTGGATATTTCCATTTTCAAAATTTTTGTCTGGAAGGCGAGAAATTAATTCTAAAACTAAATCTAATTGTTCTCTAAATTCTTCTTCAACACTTTGTGAAGTGTCTATTACAAAAATTAAATCAAATTTGCAATCAAAATTGTTGTTGAGTGGTTGAGGGGAATCACGTTGAATTTGGCTAATCTAATATATACAGGGTGCGGCAAATTTAGCGCCGACTTTATTTTTTGAATAACTTTCTTCAAACTCAATGAAAATTTATAATTCTTTTTTTATTTGATTCCCAACACTCTAGGAAACTTTTTGGTACCAAATATTAGAAATTTGGTTTACAGGTAATAAAGATATGTCCGAAGTAGTCTATAAGTCGTATTAAGAAATATATTTTTATGCCAAAGTTTACTTTACCATAGCTTCGTTCAAAGTCATCCAATCTTACTAATTTTGGTACCAATCGACTCGTCTCGACGAGGAGCATCGAAATAGTCTATAATTAGATTTTTGAAAATTTCACCTAAAAAAGTCAAATTTAACATCAAGTTCCAAATTTATCATTTAAAGGCCCATATCTCAGCTCAAGAACAAGATAATCGCCTAGTTCTTACGTCATTCGAATCAGACAAAAGAGCTTATTCGAATGATATAAACATCCTGAATATCAGACACGCGGTTTTTAAATCAGAAGACTTTTGGTTCAAAAATTTTTGCCAAAACTTTAAGAAAAAATTCTCAAATTAATTTAAAAAATTTAGAGAATATTTTTGTATCAAAAAGTTTCCTAGAGTGTTGGGAATCAAATAAAAAAAGAATTATCAATTTTCATTGAGTTTGAAGAAAGTTATTCAAAAAATAAAGTCGGCGCTAAATTTGCCGCACCCTGTAGTTTAAATTAAATATATGAGTAAATTCTGATTTTTTAAAATAAATTCTGATTTGAATTTTGTTTAAAGAAATTATGTATAGAGGGTAAATTCTGATTTTATTTCAGTTTTATTTAAAGCAAATTAATTCTGGTTTTTTTCAAGCTTATTTATATTTTATGTCTGTTTAAAATAAATTCTGATTCTCCTTTCTAGGAAAAGTTTTCTTAAAAAAATATTACAAATCAGAATCACCTTTCCATCATTATGTTCATTTCTAAACCGAAGATCTCTCTGTCTTTTAATTCCCCCAAAATTATTTTTATTAATTAAAACAGAATCTGCCCTCCTAATTTTCATTTCATCTCGGCATCGAATAATTCTTCTTTGGAATTCATCAACAAATTTAGCCATTTGTCCCTGTCCTCTAGCATTAAATAATCGAAGAAAGGAAGGTTTAGAAGAGAATGTATTGCTAATAGAAATTTGATTTTGAATATTTTCATTAAATTTTAAATTTCCAAAATTTAATCCAAAAATTGCAGTTGTTTGGCTTTCCAATGCTTTTTGTAATTTTTTATTATTTCCATTCTTTTCAGAAGAATATCCATCAGTTAGTAAAACAATAGCAGATCTTGCCTCATCTCCTCGGCCAAATTTAAATGTTTCTGTGAGAGCATACCCCAAAGCTTCTGTTAAGCTTTTGTTAGTAAACTTGTTTTCCAAAATCTGCTTCAAGTAAAATTCTGATTTTTTTAATTTATAAAATTCTGATTCAAGTTTGTTTAACGAAATTTTGATCTCAAGTTCTTTTAATAAAAATTCTGATTTTAGGGGTTGTTTTTAGAATATTCTGATTTTAAGTTTATTGTATTACAGCTTGCTTCAAGTTTATGTTAAAATAAAACTTTCTATAATTTCAAGTTTATTTATAGACAAATAATTTATTTGCTATTAAAATTTGTTAAACAAATAAAATTTTAAAATTTCCACCTCATCATTTGTTGGCCAGTCAATACGGTCAATAGCAAAAAGAGCATCATCCAGAGTTAAAGGCTCCTGTTTTTGTAAAGGATTTCCCGACCAAATAGTAACGCGAATTCTTTGTTGGAATTGTTCGGGGGGAGCTTGTCTAATTGTATCTTTGGCTGCCCTCTTAAAAACATCAAATTGTTCAGCAGAAGTTTGATTAGTATCAGCGTTTAATAAAATTATTAAGTCAATTGGGTCTTTAAAATTAAATTTTCTTTAAATTCCTTTTAAATTTATTATTCCAACCATTTTCACAATGCAAAGGAGATTCTTTTTGTAATGCTTTAGCAGCTAATTGTAAATGTTCAACACGTTCTACACTATTTATTGGTTCGTGGGAGTCGAGTAAATCACCTTTACTTTCATGTCTTCCGCTTGGTGGTAGAACACATTCGAGCAGAATTTTAGAAACTTTAAATTAATTAATTTAAAAATTCTGATTTTTAAAATTAATAATTCTGATTTAAAATTTTAATTAAAATATTAATTAAATATTATTTTGCTTCAAGTTTATTTAAAACTCTGATTTAAAGTTTATTTTTATCCCTACCCTGTTCAACAAATTGTTTTGCCCTTGCATCAATAAAAACATGCCATTGATCACCCACTAAAGTTTTAAGTCTTGTTAGTTGAGCACTTGGAGTAACAGCAACAGCAAACAATTCAGATTTTGACAAATTATTAAAAGGTTTAAATGATTTAGACAATTCCTCAGCAGTATTTCTTCCATTAGATCCACTCCACAAAATAAACATTAAAAGTCTGGCAGATTGACGACGTTGAATATTTATTTCCTTTTTTTAGATTTTATTTAAAAAATAATTAATTCGAAAACCTGCAAAGTAAGGTTAACTGCTGAAGCAAAAGAAGATTGTACTTTAGTTGGTATAATACCTCTCAATCTTCTCTGGAATTCTAATTTTCCAAGATGTTCTGGAAAAGGAATAAAAATATTTTCAATAAAGTTAGATCCTCCTCGATTGATTGGAGAAGCTATAGTATATTTTAGAGTTCGATATTACGGGGCAGAGCTGGGCTTACGGAGAACGGGAGTTGCGGGGAATTCGGGCTCGGGGAACGGGGTCCCCCCGCGACCTTCTCCCTGGGAATACGATCGAACCTTAGTATAATTAAGATACAACTCATTATAAAATACCCACAATTCCCTTAACCCAATGGATATTATCAACCCTTATATTCATTTTTTTACTTCAATTTTATACAAAAAACAACCCTTACCTGACCATCTAGCTTCAAGTCTAGGTTCTCGTCCAAATGAAAGGGCTGCCAATCTAATTCTTCCCAAATCAACATCTGTTGAAGGTAAACGCCCAACTAATTGAACAGCTAAAGCTAATTGCTTTTCAAAAGGTGAAGAAATTCCATTAGCAGCATTAAAACTGTCAATTACAAAAAGTAAATCAGTTGGGCAATCATCGAGTAATGAAGGTGTTGAAGTTGATATTTGGAGTGGATTTTTCTGAAATAAATTTTAAATATTTTTGTCAACATTTTTAATTCTAAATTAATTTTAATTTTAAAAACACTCAACATTATTTGCCATTTTTTGTATTTCCTCATGTCCTTCATTATCATTTAAATTATCTTCATTTTCATTCTCTAAAGGTTCATCCTTCTGTCGTCTTTCCAAATTATTTCCCAAAGAAAAATTTCTCAAATTATTAACATTACTATGTTCTTCAACAATTTTACTTAAATTTGTAAAAATTCCATTAAATTTATTTTTACTTCCATTTGTTAAAATATCCTTTTCTTCTTTTTCTTCATTCTCTTTTCCAATTTTTAAATTCAAACAATTATTTAAAATAGAGGAGAATGTTGAAACAAATCTTTATTTTTAAATTAATTAAATATTCAATTAATTTAATCAAATTTTACTCTTTATGACTTTTCCCAACAAAAATTCTTTTATTATTTCCAATATAAAGTAATAATTCAGGAAAATTAGAATCTTGACTGGCTGAAACAGCAAAAGAAAGTAGTGAGGGAGTTTGTTGAAGTTTTCGGCCAACAGCTTGTGCCCTAGACCAGAATTCTTGTCCATGACCATCGCTAATGAGTATTAGAATCTAAAATATGTCAATGAAATAAATTAAATTTAAATTATGAATCATGATTAAAGAAAATAACAAGTATAGTGTATATCCATGGTTAACGGGGATCAGGAAAGGAAGATGTGGATATGTATGAGCTTTATATGGGTGTGCATTGGAAATTGAAAAAGATTAAAAATATTTTTTTACCTTTTCAGAATCCCTCCTTCCACCCATTTCAAATTCACTTAAAGCCAACTCCACAGCATCGGCAATTCTTGTATTACTTCCAGTAAATTTTATATCATTCAGTCTTTCAATAATTTCTTTATTATCAACTACAACACTTTCTTTTAACGTCAAAACCAATTTTGGTTCAGAAGCAAAACTAATTAACCCAATTCTTAATTTTTCACCAATTTCCTCATTATTTATTTCTTTTAAAATATTTTGGGCTAATTGATGTTGTAAATTAAATGAGGGAAAAACTGATCCACTTGTATCAAGCAAAATAAGCAAATCAACCTTTAAAGAAAAAATAATTTTTTATTAGAAAATTGAAATTAAAAATAATATTTTTACAAGTAGTTTATTTTAAATTTTTATTTAAAATAAAACTAATCCGATAGAGTTTCTCTTTACATTATTTCAGACTTCACAAGTTAAATCCTAACTAAATTTTAAAAAAATCATAGACAGTATTTCCTTTAAATAATTCAGGATTTTATTTTATTCTGGATAATTATATTATTATGAGGAGAGATATAAGTTAATTGAACATCATTTTTAGATATAATCTGAAAGAATTATATGCCTAATGAGGGTTAGCTATTAGATAGATTACTTCCCTCCAAACCCAATAGCCAATTAAATTTAAATTAAACTAAATTTATATAATTTTCGGGGTATCTAAAAACAAAGTCTGACTGTATTTTCATTTTTGATCTAATAATTTTCAAAATAAAATTCACCAATAAAATTTAAAGAAAAAATAAATTATTCAATACAAGACAGAAATATTTTTTTATTTTAATGCTTGAATTTTAAAATATTAAAGGTTTTAATATTTATTTTATTTCTTTTTCAAATTTAATTTTAAAAAATGTATTTTTATTTAAATAAAATTATTTTATTATTTTTATTTTCAATTTTTGTTTCGTGTATTCCAAAATATCAAGAAGAATTTGGTGATGATATATTAAAAGCTTTAAATAAAGAAACAATTGAAAATGGAGAAATTGAAGTTAAAACGGGGGAAGACAAACTTGGAGATAATAAAATTAGAAAATGGAGAAAGTATGTAATTAAAAGAAAATCTAATGGAGGAAAGAATGAAGAAGAAAAGGTTGGAAAAATGAAAATTGTTTACAAGACGAAATAAGATTGGTGCCGTGATTTTAGGTTCAAAATCGAACATTTCTCCGATTCCGGACGGACCCTGATGGTTCCGAGAATAGAGGCATAATTGAATGTTCCATTAAGAGTAAATGAATTTTAATAGAAAATTAAGAAAAACTTTCTAAAAAAGAAAATCCTTAAGAAAAATTTATTAAATTTGAGATAAACAAAGGAGAACTTTCATTGCTTGATGCACCTCCAGTAAATGAGAAATCAAAGATAAATTTGGATGATAACGAGAAAAATAAAATAAAAAATGTATTGGACTGGAATAAACAAAGAGCGCCAATTATTTGTGGGGATGAAGAATGGCATTATTTTGATGGGTAAATTTTTAGAAAATTGAAAAAGAAAATTTGAATTTAAAAAATAAATAAAAATTATTTTTAGTTTTTGTTATAAACTCATAAACGGAAAATTCACATGGGAAGAAGCATTGGGAGAATGTAAAAAACAGGTATAAACAAAATATTTTCCCCATCCCCTCCGGAAGTCAGGGAAAATTTTTTTCAAAAAAAAAACTTTGAAATTTTCCTGATTTCTTGGCTTTTCAAAAATTAAAAAATTCCTCAAATTCCTCGTTCCAAACACCCCAAAATTTCCTCGTTTTAATTTTACAGAATTCAAACTTGGTGAGTATTCAAAGTGAACAGGAAAATGATTTTGTAGTAAGTTTAATTAATTTATAATTAAATAAAATAAAATTTATTAATTAAGGGATCTCTTAGTACAAAGGTTTTTAGATAATTAAATAATTAAAATATTTGTTAGTTTGATCAAAATTTTGATAATTTCTGTCACGGTTTTTGGATTGGAATGACAAGAAAATATATTGAAGAGACGGTTATTAAATAATTAATTTTTTGATAAAAATTAATTTAAAAGGATTCATTTAAAAGTGAATGGTCTGATGGAACTTTAGTTAATTATGGAAATGTTCCCATAAGAGTAGCTTTTCATACACCTCCATGGATGGGTGGACAACCAGATTTTGCTGGAGGTGTTGAGGAATGTGTACATTCTTACCCAAAATTGGGCTGTGATAATTGGCAACAAATATTTTTTAATCAATGGAATGGTGAAAAATAAGAGGGGAAAAAATTCTTTAAATTCATATTTTAGATGCACGTTGTTCGATTAAATTAAGCGGGGCAGTTTGTAAGAAAAGACAATCAATTCAAAAAATTTGAAAAGAAGAAATTAGAGAGAGAAAGATTAAAGAATTTCAGAAACAAATGTTTAAAAAAATATTTTTATAATTTTAATAATTTTGAAAAAAAATAGTTGACTCTCGTTATAATCTTGCTCGCGTTAAGGAAAAACCGATACATTAAAGCTCAACTATGCCTGTGATCCAAATAAAAATATCAGAAGAAACACCTTTTTTCATCCCTTTTTAAGGTGCTTGAAGGGCAAAGTCCCCCCATATCCATCCAAATCTCAATCGTCAAATCCCTAGATATCCCCAAAATTTAATATCATAAAAACACCCACCTCACTTCCATTTTTGCATTCAAAATCAGAATGACTATTTTCAACAGTATTATTAATTTTCTGATTTAAATTTACATTAAAATTTAATTCTTTTAGTAAAACTTCTCCAAATTTATTTTCTGTTTTTGTAGAATTTATTAAATTAAAACAAACACCAATCTCCTTAAAATAATTAATTAACTAAATAATTCAATTAAAAACTTGCCTTGTCTAAAGTTGAAATAAATAAATTTTCACTTTTTTGGCCACTCAAAATACGTCCCTTTTCCTCATTTGTGTAACTTAAAAGTGTTTTTTCGTTGAATGATTCACCAGCTATTGCAAATACAGAAACGTTTTTAGATGACAATTTTGTTCTATTAAAAAGTAATTTTTTTGTTTTAGTAGATTAATAATAATTAATTATGAATTTAATTGTTATATGTATTTATTCAAAAAATTTCTTTACAAATTTTAAACAGGAAATAGTATATCTCCCAAAAACTATATCACTCCAAATAAAATTATACTTCATAACCTCCCCCATTTTCACGCTCAAAATAAACAACTTGAAACAAATAAAGCAGATACATTTCTAGTTAAATACACACATCTGAACATTCGCAAAAATTTCATGAAAATTTTCCCATATATTCGTTTTTATCCTTATATCCTCTTTAATACATATTCAAAACATACATTGCTTCAATACTTTCATTAACCATATCAGTATTTTCCCCATTATGAACCAAAAGAATGATATTTTTTGAATTATTCGAATTTTCCGAGAATAATTGTGTGCCTATAATTAAGGCTTTGGCTGGTGAAGTTTCTAAATGACGGCGAGGTCTGAGGGAATGAATTTGTTCAATAACCTTTTTAAAATTAATTTTTAAAAGAAATTTTCTAAAAATTCCTTCTCTTTACTTTATCAACATTAGAAGAATCCAAAGAATTTATTGGATTTAATACAACAGGTGAACGATGGAAAGCAATTAATCCGTATAAGTTGGAAGAACTTTCTTTAGATATTAAAGCAATATGTCTAAATAATTAATTGAATATATGTAAAGAAAAATCAGAAAAAAACACCTCAAAACTTTTTCAATCCTTTTTTGTTGATTTTTAAAATAATCAAAGTCCTCTTGTGAAATATCAAATAAAACAAGAATTTGTAAAGAATTCTTTTCATTTTGGCAGCCTAATAATTAAAAAAAAATAAAAATAATATTTTAAAAGCTAACAAAAAATTTTTTGCATTTTTCCTTTGATTTTTCCTTTTTTCAAATCTACTTTGTTTTCAATTTTAAAAACCTAAAATTACGATAATCCCCAAGTTTTAGCCACAAAATAAATATATTAAAATTAATTTACAAAATCACCATTGGAATTTTTTGTATTTATTTCATTATTAGATGCTGCTTCTGATTGTGGCAAATAAATTGAAGCAAGGAAGAAGATAATTGGAAACAAAAAATTGAAAATATTAATTATTTTTAGAGGGAAAAAAGATACTTTTAGGCTTTCAGCCATTAAAATCTAAAATTAAAGACAGTTTTTGATTCTTCTAAAATTATTAAATAATTCAAGTGGAAATAATAACGAATATTTAAATTTAAAAAAAATTTTTATAGGCCCAAAACAGATAGAACAAAACAGAACAGAATATATTAATAATTCCAGTATCAATAATAACCAATAAAATGTTTAAAATAATTTAGGTCCAAAACAATCCACTCAAATTATGGCCTAACTAATAAGTGTCTTTCTTTAAAAGAGATTATATTTAAATTATTTAATTTTCTGTAAAAAATATTTATTTAATTTAAAATTAAAGATGTTGGGGAATGCGCAGATTAAAGAATGAAAGTTTGTGTTGTGTACATTTATTATACTAATTTCCCGTCAATCACGCTTCATTGCATTTTCGCCGTTCCCCCTTTAAAAAAGGCAATTTGTTTATTTTCTTTTTTTATTTATCTAGTTATTAAAGGCTTATTATTATAAATAAATAAATAATTATTTTTTCTCGTTTTGATAAGCTATAATTAATTTATGACAAACTTTTTATTTTTATTTATTTCGGTCGGTGTGGTCATTTTAAGGGATTGATTTTTGGGAGATTTAAATATAAAAAGAAATCAATTTTTTGGGAATTTAGAGGAAATTAATTAATTTGAAACCTACATATTTTATTTAAGAAATTACTGTGTAAGTAAATATTTTTTTGGTATTATTTTAAAAATTTAATAGTGACTCCCCCACCCTATGGAATTTAAATTTTCCTCTGTTTATTTTCCATCTACAAAGTCGAACGCTTGTTCTTATTAAGCTTTGTGGTTCAATTGGATTAAGATATCGGTGTTAATTTAAAATATTATTAAAATTAATTAAAGTCATTATAGTGCAACTATCTAAATAAAAATACTTTTAACTACATAAAATAATAAATTGTTTTTTGCTTTTCTGGTACTTTAAATGTAGTAAGGTAATGCATGTAATCAATCAAAATAACCAAAAAATCGAGAAAGGAAAGTGGAATTATTTTCACACAGAAAGCCGCTTATCAAATCCTGATTTTCTTTTAAATAAGGATTAGGCGATGGATTGATGAAAAATTGTTTGGACTTTTTAATTTATTTAGAGAATTAAGGAAAAATTGTTCAAAAAATAAATATATAAATAATATTTTTAAAGAAAAGTAATTTGGTACTTTGACAAAATAAAATTTTAAAAATTTAATAAAAATTAAATTCCGGTGCGGGGAATCGAACCCCGGCCGCCTGGGTGAGAACCAGAAATCCTAACCACTAGACCACACCGGACATTGAAATGTTTGCTTTAAAAATCAACTAAAAAGAAATAATATGAGTAATTTATAGCCATTTAAACTGATAAACTTTGTCATTCTGATTTTTATTTTTTTTAATAAATTTTTTTAATTTTGCATATTTTTTTTAATTTTTTTATTTTTAATAAAATTTAGCTTTATTTTAATTTATTGATTAAAAAACAAATAAATGTCTTCATTTCCTTCTTTCTCTCAAAAGCATCTTTCTGGTAATCGATTCCAAATTCGAGGATTTCCAAAAATTTGGACTGACAAACTTACTTTTGACGATATTGCGGTTTCTTTTAAATTTATTTTTAATTTATAAAATTAATTTAAAGTGGTATTTATATGATTTATTGGTTAAATATGGAGCTATTGAGAATATTGTGATTAGCTGTTCTAAGAGGGATATGGTTGTTTATGGGTATGATTTTGGGGTAATTAAATTTTGAAATAAATTTTTAGAATTGTTGATATGAAAAGTGGAAAGGGTGTTGCTCGTATTAAGAATGAAATGCTGGATAAATATGGAAAGTTTTATTTACAAAATTGGGATGCTGCTTTATCTGTATATTTTTTTTAACTTGATTAAATAAGGAGGGAGGGGAAGAAGTAAGGAGGAAAGAGGGAGGAATTTAATTTCAAAAATTCTTTTTTTGGTATTATTATTTATTTTTTATCTTCAATTTTCTAAACATACTATATCCTTTATTCTTTTGATTTTTCCATGACTCAAGTAGGGATAATTTAAGGGATTTCAGTATATTTTTTAGTAAGTTCTAAAAATTCTGAACATTTATTAAATTTTTAACCTAAGCTGAGCATTTAAAAATTAAAAGAATTTCATTTCAAGTCCTGACATAGTCATCTGGTTTAATTACAGCCAGCGTCTTTTTGTATTTTCAAAAATCTTCCAAAAAATTATTTTGTTTCCTTTTTTAATAAAAAAATAAAAGATTTTTTTTAATTTTTAGTTTCGACAAGTCGATGCGGACACAACCAAAAAGCTTGAGGATTTAACGAAAAAAATTTCTTTGAAGGACTTAGTTAAACAATTAACTCCACCACAAAGTACCGAAAGTTTTCATTCAGTTAATACTGCAGACAAAGCGACAGTTGATTCTTCTGATTTTGTTTATAGCCGGGAATTTCTTTTGAGTTTGCGTGGAACGGTTTCTCTTAAATAATAATTTTTAAATTTATTTTTTGATGTTCTATTTAAGTAATTTTTTACATAATTTCATTTTTCAGGGGTTTTTGGGAGGGATTGTAATTTTTTTATTAAAGCATTGATTGGTTTTTTACGAGGGAATTTTAGCTTTCGACAACAACTTTTTAGGAGATTAGAACTCCCTGAATACCGAACCAAAAATTTTTTGGGGTCTATTAGGAAACACTCGAAAGAATAAATAAGCAAAATTTCACAGCTTTTGAACATCTACAAAAAATTCTATAACCATTTTTGTAAAACAAACTTTTTTATGAAACAACCTAGTATAACACATTTAGGGGATTATTAAATGTTTTTTTAATTAATTGTGGAATTTAAATTAGAAAAAAATTTATTTTTATTTTTTCTCATAGATTTCTCCATCTCGTTACCAGACTGACCCGCAATTTTCTGAAATTCTTCGTTCTGTTGAAAATATTGATTATGGTTATCCAGCTGCTCGAAATAATAATTTTAGAAATAATAATCGCAATTTTCGTCAAAATGAGACTCGCGGAGGTTATAATTACAACAATGGAAATGTATAGTTTTTAATTATTTTTGGGGAAATAAACAAAATTTTTAAGGAAAATTAAGTAATTCCCCCTTCCAAAAGTCTTTTTTTTTAATAAAAATTTATTTTATATTTTTTGGCTTATTTTGCTTTAATTGATCTAAAACTGGGTCTCGGATCTCGAATTTTTAAAATTCGCAGTTTTTAGCTGAATTTTTTTGAGGATTTTGGAAGGCTAGAAAAGAAAAAAAAAATAAATTATTTTGTTCTAAAAACTACAAGAAAAACAAAAAAAAATCCTCATAATTTTCAAAGGACCAAAAATCCAGAAAATGAGGAAAAATTCTTACATATCCTAGCCCTAAAAATAATTTTAATTTTTGTAAATTTTTATTTAAAAAAATAATTAAAATATTTAAAACAATTGATTCCCCATAGAAAGAAATTTAAAATATTTTTTTGGAGCCTTTAAAATTTAATTATTTTTATATTTTTAGAAGACCAACAACAATAATAACAATTATTTCAATCGAAAATGATCTGAATTTTTTTTTGAATTTTAAAAATATTTTTGGCAAAGAAAATCTCTCTTCAACAATTCTTTTGATGACAAATTTAAAAAGAAAATACAAAATCTCTTTCAAAAAAAAGTAAAAAAAGTCTTTAATTTATTTTAAATTTATTTTAAGATAAAAATTAAAAAAATATTTTTTACAATTTTTTTTAGCAAAGTCCATATTTAATAATCATTTTATTAGCAAATTCTATATATTGTTTTTGGGCCTCTTCTATTGATAGACCTTTAAAAAATAAATAATTTTGAAAAATCTAAACAAAAATTCCCTTTTCCTCCCACATTAAATCAGAAAAAAAATTATTTTTTAATTTTGGGAAAGTAAAGAGAAATATATTTAAAATTTCAAAAATATTTTGCATATGAGTTAGTCAAAAATTTAATTTCACTCTCCAAAAAAATTTTTTTGGGAATGTTTTTAATTAATTAAATCGTAGTCAAAAAAATAATTTAAAAAATTTTAATTTATTTTAAGTTCAAAAAAACCTCTTTTTCCATTCCAGGCCTCCCATTTTTTCTTTCCCCTGATATCAAAAGTTCCAGGTTTACAATTATTATTATCTCCACAACTTCCTTGTTTATAAAGAGCATAAAGTTGCATTAATTCTTCGTTATTTGGAGAAGTTTTGAGATTTTTAATCTTTTTTTAATTTTAATTAAATTTATTTTTTGGGGAGTTTTTCTTACCTTTGCAGCTATTTCTTCAAATTCCTTAAATTTTCTTTTAATTTATAAAAGTTTTGGTTTATTGGAGATTTTATATTATCCCGCCCTAAGAATCGCTTGTGATGGAATTGTATGGATGCCCCCTTTTCGGCCCCAAGACAACCAACCCTTACAATCTGATATGAACACCAGGGTGTCCCTTTTACCTCTTTTTAGGGGAATTTTTCCCCTTTTTGACCCTCTCGCCCCTTTTTCTGCACTGCCACTTTTTTGAGGTGCTTTGGTGATTTGGAAAGGGACACTCTGATGAACACAAACCTGCCCACTTTTGTAATTAACCCGAGAACCTAGCCCTTACTGTTTTGACAGCATTCCTCCATATATTTTTTGAATTCTGTATCCCGTTCTATTAGACTTTTAGCAGTAGCACGATTACATGTTTATGAATGGAGTTTATTTATTCCATTAATTTATTTACCCTCTCCTCTCAAATTTTTAATTAACTAGTTAATTAATATTTTTATTAAACTAACTTGACTACAACTTGCCATTAATAATTTAAATATTTAAAAACTTAATAGGGTAACAAAAAATTAAAAAAAAATAAATTTTGATTTAAAAAGACAAACAAATGTGTCAATATTTGCGATCTAAATATATTTTCTAATCAATAAATAGGACACAATGTTTGTTCTTCTATTTATTTGGCCAAATAATATTAGCTATGTTATAATAATTTTTGATTAAAGAAAAACAAATTTTTTGATAATCGTAGGTTCGGAAATATATTTTTGTTTAGAAATTTATATAATTTTGTTTAGAAAAAATAAGTTAATTAAGCATATTCAAAGTTTTCTCTTTAAGAATTCAATTTAAAACACGTTAAATCTCAGACTTTTCTAATTTAGACTTTAATTTTAATTGTTTAGTGTAAAATATTATTTAATATTATCTTCAGTCGAATTATTTTACTCAAAACAAGATTAACCTAGAAAAGATAGGTTTTATTAAATTCTTTATGTCACTAAGTTGGGGAGCTGTCTAAAAACACCTAGTTAAGTCAAAAGAGGTTCGACTAAATCTCTCATTTGTAAAAACAATTTTTGTTTAAATTGGGAGAAGAATATGTGTATTTATTTAATATGGACATAAATATCTGAATTTTATACAAAAAATTAAACAAAATTTTTAAATACAAATACTATGTACATTTGGGTAGAAAAGACTTGAGGGGATATATTTTAGTTTTTTTGGAGTTACATATGTACAAAATCATATATTCTTTTTAAATAAAATTTAAATTCATTTTTTAATTTTACTTTGTTTAACCATTTTTCTTTCATTTTCAACAATTTTTTCATTGTTAAATTTAAAATCTTCTTCTAACAAAGAATTATAAAATATGTCGTTTGTTCCTTCTTTAATTATTATTTGATAAGCCTAAAATATTTAATTTAAAATTAATTTAAAATAATATTATTTACCTTCAAATTAAGTTTAATAAAATTTATATCATTCCAATTAATTTGGTTTTTCTCATATTGTTCATTTAATTTTTTCATTGCAATTTCTCTAAATTTTTTTGGATCTTGAATCTTTACTTGTTTTTCCTTTTTTGCAATTTTATGTTCGTATTGGTGTATTAAATAAATAATTGTTGGTTTATTTTCTAATTGGAGAAGAAAAGACGAGAAAAAACATTTATCTTCAGCTGGAAATTTTTAAAAATTTTAAAATATTTTCAAGAGGAATTATTATTTTTAGAATGGGCGATCGAGGATGGCCTCTATTAATTTTTGTTTAATATTTTTGAATGTCTATCAAGTTTATTTTTTGGTTTGACTGACTGCCGAATAGCAATTACTAACTATACATAGTTAGAATTTTTGTGATATACCTTAATTATTTTACAAAATCATTTAAGGCCATTATCTATTGCTCAACACTGTCCGGGACTTTAAAAAATTATTAAACTTACAGTTATCTTCAAATAAATTAATTATTCCCGATTCTTCATTTTCTCTCTCAGATACAAAACTTTCCGCATCAGATTGATAATTTCTGGGTGATTCTATATCTCTGCAAGAACCTTCAAAATCACTGACACTTTCCTCATTCTCTTCTTCCTTTTTAATTATTCCATAATTTAATTTTTCCACTTCTAATTTATGAATAGTTTTCAAGAAAATTTTGTCAGTTTTTTCAAAATTTTTAATTTCTTTTTCCATTTCACTCAACAATTCTCTAGCTTTCTCAACAAATTTTTTTACTGGTGTTTTCATTTTATTTATTTTATTCCAATCATTTTTCAATTTTTCTTTATTTTCTAATAATTCTTTTATTTCTCCCTTTTTTGGATTGGCCCTTTTCAATTTTGGAATTTTTAGACTTTTATTATTATTAGAAGAAGAAGAATCTTTATTTTCCCCAATTAAATCTTTAGCATTTTTTATTGCTTCAAAATAATCTTTAGAAGAATGATTAATTTCAAGCAATAATATTTGATATTTATTTAATTTATTTTTATCATAATATTGTTTAAATTCTTCCTTTAAACGCACATATTCATATGTGCATTCCACCATCTAAATTTTTTTATTTTTAGAGGTTTTGAAATTCTGAATCTCCGTCCCTAACAACAATTCCTTTTAAAAAGTTTCACGCTTATAAAAATTAGCTACTCAAGTTATAATTCCGGTATTTCTTTCAAAAATCTAGCTGGATATCCAATTATTAACTTTAACATTTTTTTCAGTCTCCGAAAAGGTAGGTAATAGGCAGGCCGAAACTTGCGGACCGAAACTTGCGGACCCGACGAATTTCTCAAAACATAGCTCATTCGAAAGAGCTCGACGAGCTGAGTCGAACGTCAAAACCATCGTGATTGTACAAGCTTGGAAGTTATGATAGAAAAACTAAAACCTAAATTTATGGTCCGCAAAAGTTGGTCCGCAAGTTTCGCACTACCAGGTAATATGTATTTATAAATTATAAATTACCTTATTGTTAATTGTTTTTAATTCTTCATCAAATTTATAAATAATTTCTTTAATTTCATTAATTTTATATTCGGGGACTTTAATTTCATTATTATTCATTTCTTCCTTACATTTATTTTTTACGTCTAATTTAGTTTCTTTCCGAAAATTATTTTCTTCATTTTTTAAATTTATAGCTTCATTAACAATTTCTTTATAATGTTTTAATAAATTTTTAACTTTTGAAATCCACATATTTTCTTTATTAATAATTTCCTTATTTAAATCTGTCAGATCTGATTTGAATTCTTCCAATTGTTTCGAATTTTTTGAATACTTCAAATCTCTTATAACACTGTGGCTTTTTTCTATCGTTTGTTTACTTGCTTAAAAAAATTTTTTTTTATTTAATAAAAATTTTATTTTAAATATTTTTAGTAGAGTAGAGAGAGGTCGAATTTTTAATAGGTTTTTTAATTGAAGACTTATGTTAAAAGACTAGGCAAAGATAAAATTTATTTCCGTTCCCATGTTTAATTTTTAAATTTACTCATTAAATTATCCGTCAGTTGCCACACATCAAGATTAGACAATGAATCTAAACTAATACTTCGTTTGATAGATTTGATAGATTCAGTCGACTTTTTTAACATTGCATTACTTGAAGGCCACAAAATAAAAAGAAAAATCAAAAATAGAAGAAAAGTTTTATCAAAAATCATTTTCAAATCTAAAAATTTAAAGAATTTTTGAGAATTTTTTTTTAATTTTATTTTTTTCGAAAATAGTAGAGCTGTCCAAACTGAAAATTTTCTTAGAAATTCAACAGATTTGGACAGCTCTTTAACAAATAAGTTTAAGAAAGGGTCTTACTCAGTTTTTTGTCTTTTAAAAGCATGTCTAGAAAAACTTAAACTTTATTTTTTAAATTAATTTGACTTTGAAGCAATAGACTTCTAAAAATGGCAGTGAAGAAAAAAGTAGACATTCTTTAAAAAGGAAATTAATCAAGAAAAAAATCAAAGTCTGGAGCTAGCCTCTAACACGCGCCTCCACTCATGTCTGTCTATACAGACAAATTTATAGACATTATTGCCCTTTATAAATTCCTTTAAACAATAGAAATTTCCATATAATGCCCTTTCTTTAAAAATGCCAGACAATTAAAAGGGCATTTATTTGACTTCAATTGACGTAAATCGTCTATAAATTTAATTAAAACCCAGACAGTTAATTTAAATAAATATTGATTTTAATTTAAAGTTATTTTAAATTTAAATTAAAAATTTAAAATGTTGCTTTAATTAAAAACATTTTCACAAACAATCTCAATTTAAAGATGTAAAAAAACTTTTTCACTTACCCAACGCTTAAACAAAATTAAGTACATATATTAATTTATATATTAATTTTTTGCTTGTTTACATTTATTTGTATTTTTCGCCACTATAATTGCGCAGATGCGCTAGTGGTTTGCTCAATAAAATTTAAAAATTTAAAATTTTAGTTAAAATTGTTGTTTTTATTTTTTTTGTAAATTTTAAGGATTGAGACGGGAATTCTCAAAACTTTGAGGATGGTGACGGGGTATAATCTTGATTTTAAGGATATAATTCAGAAAATATGTATATCCACCCCTAAAATAAATTTTTATAATTATGTATAAATTATCTCAAGTATATAAACAATTTATTTTGATTTTTAACCAAATACTAGTTAATCTCTAATAAATATTTATTTAATAAATTGTTTTTGAAGATTTCGATTTTGAAGATAAAGTCAAAAATTAAATAATTATTAAATCGACTGTCCCTTCCAAAAAGCTTATTTTCCTCTTCATACTACAGTATCGCAAAGCTATTTAGTCGCAAACATTTAACTTTTAAAGTAATTAAATATTTTGGATATTGTTGATTAATATTGCTAAATATTTATAGATGAATAATCCACACTTCGAAACTTTCAATTGATATAAAATTTAAAGAAGCTGTAGCGAAAGTAGAACTTCGGGACGGAAATGGATGGAATTTATTCAGCCATATAAGGGCCAAGTAGGCGCAAAGCCATAATTATCTAAAAAATTTCTTACCTTAACAATTTTCATACCAATCTCTTTAGCTCGATGAGATGTATCGTTTAATACTAAATTTGTTAAGATTCGGAAATTTTGAAGCAAGTTATGGCTTTGCGCCGTTATGGCCGCGCGCCCTTTTGGGCTATCCCCTTATTTAACATCAAGTCTAACAATTTTGGGAATAAAAAAATTTTTTCTTCAATAATTTGTGTTTCAAAAATTTTTGTTTGCTGTATTTTTCTAGACTTCTTAGCTAAGAGAATTTTCTAAACGATAAATAATTTGTAGTCTTTAGAGTCGGACCTAATCAGGCCATATTTTTCTGGGATAATTTTCTTTGGCTGATTTGACTTATTTTTTGTATAAATATTTTTAATTAAAAATTTTTTTCAGTTAATTTATTTAAATAAATTTTCTTTTATTTAAAAATGCAACAAACATCGCAAATGAAGGACAACCCAAATGTTTTTTTTCAAAATTAAAAAAAAAATTAATTTTTTTTTTAAATTTAAAGATTTCTTCTATGGATAATCAATTAAATAATCGAGAAACTTCAAATAATGCCAAAAAAGCAGAGGAACAAAAACAGCAACAAGAAATGATGAAAAACACAATTTTATCTCAGGTTTTTTGTCCAAAATAAATTTAAATATAATTTTTATTTTTTAAAGGTTTTGGATAAACAAGCATTTTCTAGATTGAGTAATTTATTTGTTGCTAAACCAGAAAAGAGTCAGGCTATTGAAAATATGATTGTTAATATGGCTAGGTAGTTTATTTAATTTTTGTGAAAAGAGGAGGGGGTTTTAAGAGGAAGGGGTTTCCTAAGAAAAAATGTTAATAGAGAAAATTTTTTAATAATTTAGTGAATAAATTTAGGGAATTTTTATTAATTTATGATAAAGAAAATTTTTCATTATAAAAATTAAAATTTTTCTTTTTCTGTTCTAAATGCCATAATTTAATTTTTATATTTGGGAAATTTAAAGAAAATTTTCTTTTGAATTTATCTAGTTTTTTTTAACAATTATTGAATACTTATAGATTACATAATTATTTTTAAAATATATTTTTCCGTTTTTAGTAAAACTAATCTCTAAAATCCAGAAAATTTTTTAATTCTGAAATAAATTTTCTTCCAAAATTTCTTTTCCTAATAATTTTTTAGAAGGCCGTTAGTTTCCATTTTTTGTTTTTAAAAACTTAATTTTATTGATTTAAATTGCTAATTTAAATTTAAAAAATATTTTAATTTTTTATTAATCCATTTCTTATTTTTTTAGGATGGGACAAATTCGAGGCAAAATGACTGACGAAGATTTGAAAAAACTTTTGGACCAAATTGCTGTTAAAACATCAAAAACTACAAAAGTTAATGTAAAATAATTTTTAATTTAATAAAAATTAAAATTATTTCCAAGTATGATCGAAGAAGGGCGGCCATTGATTCGGACGATGAAGATAATTTAATTGGTCGGGGAAAGAAAGGAAATGGAGAAACTTCTTCAGACGAGGATTAAAAATATTTGCTCAATTTAAAGTATAAAAAAATTAATTTTGATTATATTTTTGTTTAAAAAATATTTTTTCGAGTTTTTGTTTATTATAAATTGTCAGAAAGTTTTTCAGATTAAAAATAAATTAAATAAAAATTAAATTCCGGTGCGGGGAATCGAACCCCGGCCGCCTGGGTGAGAACCAGAAATCCTAACCACTAGACCACACCGGATATATTAGCTCTATTTAATTATGCTTATAAAAAGTGTTAATTTCCTTTCTTTAAATATTGATCTATTTACTTGAGTGATTTAGGTTAAACTTAGTGAAAGTTTGTTGGGAAAGCTAAATAATCCAATTAGTATTTGAAATGTAAAGACAAGTTATTTTTTGTTTACATTTCTAAACTGAATTTGTTGTTTTGTTAAACATTTGAATGGTTTTGTTTGCTAGTATGCAAAGAATTTTTTAGATGCTATGAGTTAAACTAATAATCCCCCCTTACTTTATCTTTCTCTTATTTTGTAAGTAAAACTACAATTATCAGAATATTAAAATTTAACTCATTTTTCTGATTTGTAAATATATGTAGTTGCTAGATTTTTTAAAAATTATTTCCAAAAAAAATAAAGAATTAAGGAGGTATGTCGATCTAAAGTTAAAGTGAGTTTCTAAAATTGGTTAGAACGAAGCCAAGATTCCTTTATTTTTCTATTGTTAGCTTCATTTACGCCTGTCCTATTAAATTCTAATTTTTTAAAATAATTTAAATGCCAAATATTGACACAAGAGATGATAGAAAAATTAATGAAGCAGAAATATTTTATTTTTCAACAAAAATGGAAGCTGATTTGGGGCAAATATGTAATCTTGCATGTAAAGCATTACAAGTTTATAAAAAAATGAATTTAAATAAAGTTTGATAAATATTTTTTAAAGTTAAATAAAACAGAATGGGAAATTGCAAAATATTTAAAAATGACTTTGGAAGAAAAGATCCCTCCAAAATGGGATGTTATTGTTGGTTAGTAAATTAATTAGTTTATTTTAGAGTTCGTCGAGAATTCTAAAAAAATACCGGTGAAGATATCGGGATCTCATTCCTGCTCACTCTCGATTTACTCTAATTAGAAATTTAATCAAAAATATTTTAATTTTAAGGAAAAGCTTTTGGTGCATTTATTACTGTTGATGCAAGGAATTTTATGCATTTTAAAATTGGCAGAACCTATTTTGTTCTTCATAAACTTTGAGGGCGATAAATAATTCTTGAGTATTTCTAAAATTTATGCTTAATAATATAATTTCCCCTAAACTCCATTTAAAGCTATTTGATCTAAAAGTATTTTATTTTATTAGACACTAAGGATCGAATTATATCCAGAATAGAGTTATAGTTTTCGGGTTAATTAAGTTATTTTTTCAGTTTTTAAAATATGTAGGCAACAGTGAAATTTTGCAAAACATCCAAAATTAATTTTTCTATAAATTTTGGAATTTTTGATTTAATATTTGATATTTTACGATTTATTTTGTCTACATAATTCAATTTATTAACCAAAAATTACAAACACCTTTAAATAATTTAATTAACATTATTTTGAATATATAAATGTTTTACATTCCTTAAGTCTTATTTTGTCTATTTTGCGAAAACATGCGCTCAAACATTACTAAAACTCGTGCCAGTCACTCATGATAAAAATTTTTGTTTTAACTATTTTTAAATAAAAAAACATTAACATAAATGTCAACTAAATAAAAATAATTTTTTTGTTTTTAATTAAAATAATATTTAAATAAATCTTTTATTTTAAATAACAAATTAATTAGTACAAAATTTATTTTATTTAAAAAAATGTTTTACAAAAATAAAATAATTTGTACGTAAGGACAGCTAAAATAATAAAAGAAAGTATATTTTTAGAAAATATTTAAAAAGATTAAAAATTATTTTTAAACAAAAAAAACAAACGTAAATTAATTTAAAAAGCTTTATTAGCATTTTACTAATTAACACGCAAATATTCGTCATTTAATTTATTGCAAGTTTATTTACATTATTAAATATTAACAAAAACTTATTTAAAAACTTTTTTAATTTAAAAACAAATTTTTTCGTAACTAAAATTACGTAATGTTTTTACTAAAAACAATTGTTTTTATTTAAATAAAATTAGCAAAAAAGTTTATTTATTTCTTTGTTTTTTGCAAAAATAATTCTTTTTTTATTCTCAATTTGTGATTTGGAGAAATTGAATGATGTGTAATCTCACCTCCAATATTTAATAGAAGTGCGTGACCAAAAAATATAAATTATAGCTCATTTTCGTTGATATGAGTCCAATGATATATAGATATCTAGCTAGAATTTGTTGTCTACATATATCTGTTTTATAATGACTACTTATATGTCAAACAAATAAATATATACTAGTTCTGGTCGAAAAATAAAAATATTTGGAGGAATTTTAATTATTTAAATTATGTATTAACGGAGAGAAAGTTTATTTTGGTTCTTTAATCTTTGTTTATCATGTTAATTTAATTAAAAAATTAATTTTTACTTTTAATTGTTGCAAAAATTAAAAAAATGTGAAAACGCCTTTTCTTAATTTTTATAGGTTCAAATTAATTAAAAATAAACTTTTTAATCAATCATTTTTTATACTTAAAGACCAATGATTTATAAAAAATTTCCATCAAAGAAATAATGCGCAAAATGCAACACTTAAATAAACGACCCTTACTACCGCTGTCCATTTAACCAAAATTTTTTTAAAAAATAATTTTGTTAAATGGAATTTCATTTGTATCTCTGCATGTTTAAACCTAGCTAATAAAGCTATCATCGAATGGTATCAAAATAAAATGTTAAAGTACTTTTACTTTCATTTTTGGTTTTGAGATAGATTTGGGATTGGACACACATTTTTAATAAATAATACACAACTTAAACTAGTATGGACTAAAATAGAATAAATTGCTCATTTACTTTTTTTTAATTTGCAAAATTATTAATAAATATTTATTTAATATTTATTTATTTTAAATTCTTAGTTTTAATATAGACTTAACTTTTTAAACTTTTAACTTAACTTCAAATTTATTTTGTCGTAATATTTTGTTATATTTTGTTCTGCTTGGATGATTGAAAATCAAAATTTAACATTTACTAAAGAAATTAGAGCCTTAATGTTATTATATAAGTACAAGTTTTTGTTGTTGATTTTTCTTTAAAAAATAGGAAATAAATTTTTAAAAATAAAATTTATTAGTAAATAAAAACAAAAAATATATTTTTACATAAAAACTTTTAACATTCTCTAAAATGAATCAGATCGAGACAAAAAAACAAAATAATTTTTTTCTGTTTTTTGGCTTTTTGCCTTTACTTTATTTAATATTTAACCTTTTTATTTTTCTTAAATGTTGTCATTTTTGTTTTTTCAAATAATTATTATAATAGAAACATTTAAATAAAAACATTTATTTATTTATTTATAACTCCACCCATTTATTTTATAAAAATAAAGCTAATAAATAAAAAAAATTTTTTTTAAAGAAACGCCCTTAGAATTAGAATATAAAAACTTGGAGAGAATATTTAAATTAGGCAATACATATATCTTTTTAAAAATTCAAGTCTTCTTTTGTTTTATAAATAAATTGTTAACAATTAAATAATTACTATTTTGGCATTTTTTAAATAGTTGGAGAAAATAATAGGCTGTGATAATTTTTTGTTAAGTTATTATCTCCTTTAAAATGGTCACTGAGGATCCAAAGAGTTTTTTTATTTTCCTCTATTATAATGCCACCCTCTAACGGAATACCACCCCCTAATAGAATGCCACCTTTGGTGGTGATTGAAAAATAAAATGCCATGGCATTCTAAAAGAGGAATTACGGTATTTTACATTTCATTTTTTGTGCTGGATAAAGGAAAAAAATGTTAAATATGATAATTTTATAGGGTCTTACCCATTATTTTGAAACAAATGGTATCATTTTCTTATTTATTTTTTGTCGAGTCCTTGATTTTAAAATAATTTCAAGGTTAATAGAGAATTAATTATTTTAAAAATAAAATTATTATGCTCCCATTCCTTCTTTGGCTATTTATTTTCTCATTTATCATTTGCTTTTGGAATTTTGTTTGGAAACGTCTTTCGCTTCCGCCCGGCCCTCTACCCTTACCTCTTCTTGGAAATACTTTAACACTTGCACATTATGCTCCTGGTTATGAAGCTTATAAAATTTGGGCAAATAAATATGGCCCAGTCTATACTTTGTGGTTGGGAGAAGATCCAATAGTTGTTATTTCTGATTTTGAGTGTATGCGTGATACGTTTGTTAAAGCGGGAGAGGCTTGTTCTGGCAGGCATTTAATGACTGCAATTAATAGTGTTTTGACGGGTTTGTTTTTTAAAAAGATTACAATAATTTTGCATAATGACCAATTAAGAGGGCAGTTATTTCCCATCATTTCTTAAAATCTTTTCAGATTTTATAGAAATGTACAACGGGAAAGAATATTAATTGATTGAGCTAGGAATAAAGACTGATCTGAAGATTCAATATTGATCCAAGATCTAACTTTCAAGTAACCTTTCTCTCGATTGCCGATATTTTTGAATGAGATTCCATCTCTGCTCGATCTTTAATTAAAAATAAATACCGAAAATCTCCAAATTCTAAAAAATCAAAATTTTTCATTAAATTAATAATTGCAGCAACAAACGGTAATTATGGAGTTATCCGAACAGAAGGTGATCGTTGGCGAATAATGCGTCGATTTACACTTCAGGCAATGCGCGATTTGGGGATGGGAAGAAGCAATTTGGAGCAAAAAGTAAATTTAATTTTTAAAGTTTACTAAAAATATTTTTAGTTTTTTGACGATTTTCAACAACAAATATCAGAAACTTTAACTAAACAAATTGAACAGAGTGTAGATGGGTCAGTAATTACCCGCTTAGATCAAATGATTGATATTTTGGCTGGTTCTACAATAAATCAAATGCTTTTTGGATATCCCTTTACTGAGGTATTATTAAATATTTTTAAGGATAAAAAATTATTTTAAGGACAAACTCAAAGACTTTTACAATTTAAAAGAAAAATTAGAACAACAACGTTTAACAATAACAACAATTAGAGGCCGTTTATTAATGGGAATGCCTTGGCTAAGATATTTTCCTTTATTTAGTTCTACTTTTAAAGAATTTGATTCCCAAGTATCTTCAACATATTCTTTTTTTGAATTTAATATATTTGAAAGAATTAAAAAAAGATTTAATGAAAAAAATAATGAAGAAACAACAAAAGATTTGTTAGATTATTTTTTGGATCAAATGGAAGAGGAGAAAGTAAATGGGGGTAAAGGGGAATTTAAGTAAGTTCTTATTTTTGATTTTAATTGAAATTCTTTGGTTTTGGTTAAAAATTAGTTGAGTTTTTAATTTTAAATTTCGATTCTTTTGAAGAAAAATCATTTCTTAATTTTGTTTAGAATAAATAAAGTAATTTTAAAAATTCTTTGATTAACATATTCACCTAGATATTTTAATTAAAAACCTGTTTAACTTTAAAGAGCAAATATTTGTAGAATTATTTCTAAAAAATAAAATTTAAAAAAATATTTAATATAAAAAGGCGAGACCAATTTATAGGAAAATGAAATAAAAATAATTTATATTATAGTATGTATTAAAGACCGGAACTCGTAAATAAAAATTAAAGGAATTTTGTTTTTATCATAAAATCTTTAAAATTTATGGCCTTTACTTTTAACTTTATTTTATAATTAAAAAAATAAACAAAAAAAATTATAAAAAAATTTTGTTTAATTAAAAAATATTTCTTTTAAAGTTTAGAGAATCTTCGTTCACTTTGCTATGATCTTTTCCTAGCTGGCCAAGAAACAATATGTATTACTCTAAACTTTTTGTTGTTATATCTTTTACTCGATCAAAGAGTTCAATTTAAACTTCAAAAAGAATTGGATGAATTTAAAGAAAGGCGTAAATATTTGCAAGGAGAAAGGCATTTTAAAATGGTTGATCGTTCTGAATTGCCGTATACAAATGCTGTTATTAATGTAGGGAATTTAATATTTTTGATTAATATTTTTTGAAATTATATGTATGCATTCTTTTTATTGAAAGAAGGGCACATAATGCAGGAAAATTTTTAACCGTTTGACAAGTTTTCAGTAAAATCTTGGCCAAGAAAATCCATTAAAAATTGCACATTTGCTAGAAAACCCAAAAAAAGTCGGTAACCATAACTCGAAAAACATCATCTCTCCTTCTCCAGAGCATTTCCTGCCATTTATGTCTTATAAAAAATTATTTATCTTTTAGGAGAGTCAACGTTTGTGCAATTTATTACCGCTAAATCTCAGCCATAGAACAACAAAAGATGTTCAATTACTTGACGGCAAAATTAAATTACCTGCAGGTGTCGCTATAGTTCCACAGATTAGTTGTGCTCTTTTTGATGAAAAAATATTCCCAGAACCTAATCGTTTTTTACCTGAACGTTTTATTGATAAAAATGGTTGTTTAAAGAGAATTGAACAATTTGTTCCTTTCAGTTTGGGAAAAAGGTAAAATAAATTATTTAAAAATAATCAAAAAATTAAACAAAACTATCAAACATTAGATATTAATCTTTTAATTTCTAAACAAAAATTAACCCAATTTAAGGCAATGTTTGGGCGAATCACTAGCTCGAATGGAATTGTTTCTGTTTACAACAAATTTCTTTTCAAAATTCAGGATTTTCCCAGTAGATCCTTTCCATCCACCTACTACCGAGAAGCAGCTTGGATTTGGAGTATTTCCACATCCGTATAGCTGTCGAGTAGAATTACGAAATCAATCAAGAGAATGAGTAAATGAATTAAAAATATAAAACGATAAATTTAGATAGATTAAATTTTGTATTTAAATTACCTAAATCCAATTCTCTCCTAAAAATAGGGATTTTAGAATTTATGTCCTTTCATCTGCGGATTGGCTTTTTGATTAGGCAATCTTATAAATACATATAAAAATTCATTCTTTTCATTATTCAGGATTTTCCCAGTAGATCCATTCCATTCACCCACCCCATGATATTCCTCTTTGCTAGCCCATTTCTAACCTGATATTCCTTTTTCTTTTCCGTTCCATAATTCGCTTTCTAGGTACTCAAGTTTTTAAAAATTAGATAAAATTTTTATTCCTTTCTTTTAATTATTATATGTAGTTAAATTTTTGATAATTTAAATAAAAATTTTTATGCCCAAGGTTATCTTATAAAATCACTAAAATCTCAATAATGTAAAATACAGTTAAAAATAAATACAGAATTAAAACATAAAAAATTAAAATACATATTAGTTTCAAAACTTTTAAATAAAAAAATTATTCCAAAATTCAATTTAACCCATCAACACTTCCTAAACCTAAAATATTTGCTGAAGAAGTTTGCCCATTAAATTTTATAGTTACGTCAGAGCTTAGAACAAATTTTAAGGCTGAAAATAATTTTTCAAAAAAATTTTTAAAGAAAAACTAACAAGCAATTAAAGGCTTTAATGAAGGCAAATTATTGCCTAAATCCTCAAACATAATATCAATAATATTTTTTGATTTATCATCCAAGCTATTATAAGCATTTTTTACATCTTTTTTAAGGAAAATTATAATTGTTTTGATTAACTGAAAATTAATTTGAATTTTTTAAAAATATTTATAAGGTTAATTTTAGTGAAGAACTAAATATTTTTGAATCTATTTTTAATAGTCACTAATTTCTCAATTAGAGCCCGGACTGGGAGGGTTGTGCTAGACTTGAAATTGATATCTCGAAAATATCAATTTTAATCCTTTCTAGTTGATTGCAAATTTTAAATTTAAAACTGAGCAGAACATTGGTTTTCCCATTTAGAATTACAGTCAAAACTCAATTTTAAATAAACCCTTTGGGCTGGAAAAATCGAAAGAAGTTATTAGAGGTATGTATAATCTTTCCAATTAATTACAATAAAGGAAATGATTAATCTTGAGATTAAAATAGGATGTAGGGCTTATGAACAAAGTACCAACATTTTTAATTAATTTCTTTCCATCATCATCTAAATTATCAAACATAATTGTTAATTTAACGTAAATCATTCTCAAAGCTTCCAATAAAGAATAACATTTTTCTTCCATTTCATCTAAAAGCTCTTTAATGTTGTTAATATTCCCCTTATTTGCATCTTCCAAAACTTTTTTAAATCCATCCAAATCCTTTAAGTCTATCATAGCTAAACTAGCTTTAAAGTCAATTGACATATTTTCTTAAAAATAATTTAAATATTTTTAAGTCAAAATTTAAATTTGCCTTCAATTTTCTTTCCAATTTCTTTTAAATTTTCTTCTTTTATCTCTGTGCTATTTAAAGCTTTCTCATTTTTTGCCTTATCAGCAAGTTCTGCATAAGCTCCCCGAATTGACTCTTCTATTACAGCAATTACATTATCTCCTAAGAATATTTAAATATTTTAAATTACGCTAAAACTAAACAAAAATAATTAAAATTTTTCATCAACATAATTTTAAAAATATGTTCTATCATCTCACCATTTAAATCAAAAATTGAAGTTGATGGGAATTCTTTTTTCAAGCTTTCAACAATTTTATTCAAAGCATCTTTGTTTGATTTAAGTTGAGAGGAAATTGTAGATTTGAATGTAACATACAATTCGTGAACCTATTTTTACGAAATTTTTAAAAAAGTTAATGTTCAAATATAATTTATACTTTTTTCCCTAATTCTTTAGAATCTCCAAATTTTTTCATATAAGAATCCAATTGTGAAAGTATTCCTTCCAAAAATTCGCAAGCTCCAGGAGCACTTTCTTTAAGCTTTTTATATACAGCTTTTGATTGACCAAATTCATCAGAAACATCTATTTTGATTTTGAAAATGTTAAAAACACCGTCAATATCATTTGAGTCCATTTTTGAAATTAAAGCAATGACACTTTGGGGAGATTCATCTGATATACATATGTAAGATTATATTGGACCTTAATATTTTATTTTATTTTGTACCCTTTAATTTAATAGCCAATGATTTAAGCTTAGCATCAATGTCTGTATCAACAGAATCAATTAGTTTGTCGGGCTCCTCACAACTTCCAGACAACTTATCCAAAATATCTTTCAAGATATTTTCAATTGTCTTCGCTATACAATCTAGAAAGATTATTTTAGAGTTGATGGTTTAGTATTTAATGAGAACAGGCCAAAGTACCGCGAGGCCAATATACCGCCGAGCTATAACTCGTTAAAATTCTCAATTCAGCTCGTCGAGCTGCATCGAACCCTACCAAGATGTCCCGGATTCGATATTTTGAACCGAGTTATAGCTAGGCGGCACATTGGCCCGCGGTACTTTTGGTGTACCCGTATCTAGATTCTACTTGAATATAATTTAGTATTTTTAAGGGATTTAAGACAAACTGCATCCGTCGGTTGTTGACGTTATGTTTGGTGTTGTTGGCGTAGTAGTGGTTGGTGTAGTAGATTCCGCGGTTGGAGTGGTTGGCGTTGTCGATTCTGTGTTTGGCGTTGTTGGTGTAGTTGTTGGAGTTGTAGGAGTGGTTGGCGTTGTTGGCGTTGTTGTTGGAGTTGTAGGAGTGGTTGGCGTTGTTGTTGGAGTTGTAGGAGTGGTTGGCGATGTTGGCGTTGTTGTTGGAGTTGTAGGAGTGGTTGGCGTTGTTGGCGTTGTTGTTGGAGTTGTAGGAGTGGTTGGCGTTGTGGATTCTGTGCTTGGCGTTGTTGGTGTAGTTGTTGGAGTTGTAGGAGTTGTTGAACAAGGTATATTTTGGGACGAGGAAGAACTGCCTTCAATATCTATTTCAATAATTCCTTTTAGATCAATTTTAATGTTAAATTCAACAAATAATCCAACGAATGATCCGATTAATTGTTTACACTTCTCTTTGTTTTCCGATAAAAATTTTGTAATTTCCTTGAATGCTTCCTTGAGCAGCTCTTTAAATTTATTCAAAAACTCCTTGGCATTTCCAGTCAATTTATTTTCACATTCATCAATTAATATTTTAATTTTTAAATAAAGGTAATTTGTAGCAGAATAAATTCCTTGACATTTAGTCTTTAAATTTTCAGTAAGGTCATTTATAGATTTTACTTTTCCGTCTTTTAGCAATTTTATTAGTTCTGTAATGTCACTACTTCTGATTGTTTGCAGTACTTGCTTCAATTCATCAGGAATAGAATCTACATAGATTTTTATATATTTATTATGTAAAGTCGAATAGTTCAAAGTAGGGTTCAACCAAAGTCCACGGGGACGGTGGTTCAACGATGACGGTAGGAAGCTATCCTCCGAGAGCTCTGACCGTAAATGTTTAACCCTAGTCTTGAAAATAAGTATTTTTACCTTTAATTTTAGAAGAACTTTGCTCGAAAATCGTTTGATCATTACTTTTATCAATAATTTCAATTGTTAGTTCTGATACACGAACTGCTTTTGACATTAAAATATTTACACCCATTTGTTTATCTGCTTTCCCTTCAATCATAAGGTTTAGCTTACACATAAATTCGGCAACCTAATATGTATTTATTGAATATTATTTCTTTAAAGTTAATTTCATACCAATAGGCAGGTACACGGTTTTCCGTCAAATACTTTTGGTATTATCATACATTCAGATGTTGTTGTCGGGACGGATGGTGTCGTCAGTGTTGTGGGAGTTGTAGTTGTTGTCGGTGTTGTCTCAGTTGTCTCAGTCGTAGGAGTTGTAGGTGTTGTCGGCGTTGTCTCAGTAGTAGATGTCGTCGGTGTTGAAGGTGTTGTCGGCGTTGTCTCAGTTGTAGGTGTCGTCGGTGTTGTGGGAGTTAAAGGTGTCGTCGGTGTTGTGGGAGTTGAAGGTATTGTCGGTGTTGTTTCAGTTGTAGGTGTCGTCGGAGTTGTCTCAGTCGTAGGAGTTGTAGGTGTTGTCGGAGTTGTGGGAGTTGAAGGTTTTGTCGGAGTTGTTTCAGTTGTCTCAGTCGTAGGAGTTGTAGGTGTTGTCGGCGTTGTCTCAGTAGTAGATGTCGTCGGTGTTGAAGGTGTTGTCGGCGTTGTCTCAGTTGTAGGTGTCGTCGGTGTTGTGGGAGTTAAAGGTGTCGTCGGTGTTGTGGGAGTTGAAGGTATTGTCGGTGTTGTTTCAGTTGTAGGTGTCGTCGGAGTTGTCTCAGTCGTAGGAGTTGTAGGTGTTGTCGGAGTTGTGGGAGTTGAAGGTTTTGTCGGAGTTGTTTCAGTTGTCTCAGTCGTAGGAGTTGTAGGTGTTGTCGGCGTTGTCTCAGTAGTAGGTGTCGTCGGTGTTGAAGGTGTTGTCGGCGTTGTCTCAGTAGTAGGTGTCGTCGGTGTTGAAGGTGTTGTCGGCGTTGTTTCAGTTGTAGGTGTCATCGGAGTTGTCTCAGTTGTAGGTGTCGTCGGTGTTGTGGGAGTTGAAGGTGTTGTCTCAGTCGTAGGTGTTGTCGGAGTTGTCTCAGTTGTAGGTGTTGTCGGTGTTGTCGGAGTTGTAGGTGTCGTCGGTGTTGTGGGAGTTGTAGGTGTTGTCGGAGTTGTTTCAGTTGTAGGTGTTGTCGGAGTTGTCTCAGTTGTAGGTGTCGTCGGTGTTGTCGGAGTTGTAGGTGTTGTCTCAGTCGTAGGAGTCGTCGGTGTTGTGGGAGTTGAAGGTGTTGTCTCAGTCGTAGGAGTCGTCGGTGTTGTCGGAGTTGTAGGTGTCGTCGGTGTTGAAGGTGTTGTCGGAGTTGTTTCAGTTGTAGGTGTTGTCGGAGTTGTCTCAGTTGTAGGTGTCGTCGGTGTTGTCGGAGTTGTAGGTGTTGTCTCAGTCGTAGGAGTCGTCGGTGTTGTCGGAGTTGTTTCAGTTGAAAGTGTTGTCGGAGTTGTCTCAGTTGTACTAGTCGTCGGATTTGTCTCAATTGTAGGTGTTATCGGCGTTGCTGGCGTAGTACTTTCATTTGTAGTAGCATTTCCCTCGCATTTGATAGGAGAACATTTATTTCCTGCATCTTTACAGCTTATACTCTTAGCCTGGTCAATTATATTTGTGAATATTATTTAAAAAAATTTAAATTTACTTTG